AAAAAAAACGAAAAACGAAACAAAATGGCGTATTGAACGTGAATGCACAAATACTTACTTTCACTTGAGTTATCTTAAAAAGTAGTGCTTTAAAAGCTGACACAAGGGGCTGGGAAGGTGGCTCAGTGGTAGAGCGCTTGCCTTGCATGCCTGAGGCCCTGGATTCGATTCCTCAGCACCACATAAGCAAAAAGAAAAAAAAGCCGCAAGTGACGCTGTGGCTCAAGTGGTAGAGCGCTAGCCTTGAGCTGAAGAGCTGAGGGACAGCGCCCAGGCCCAGAGTTCAGGCCCCACGACTGGATTCCCCCCCCCCCAAAAAAAAATAAAAACTGACACAAGTAAAACGTGTGTTACATGAAACAGTGGAACATTGAAACTTACATGATGAATGTCCCTTATCACTGGCTATTCTTGTTGCACAGATGTTACTGTAGTTGATGGTTTGGTGTATGGCTTTTTGAATTTATTTCTAATCCTATGTGAACCTTTAAAATAAATGTTTTTTGTGTTTTTTTTTTTTTTTAAACTAAAATGGGGGGCTGGGAAGGTGGCTCAGTGGTAGAGCGCTAGCCTTGAGCTGAAGAGCTGAGGGACAGTGCCCAGGCCCAGAGTTCAGGCCCCACGACCGGACCAAAAAAAAAAACAAACTAAAATGGATACCCACTGGTACTCAGTAGACACTGTGTTGAAAATGAACTATACAACTTACGGGAGGAGAAAACTAGGGGAGAGGGAAGGAAGGGGTGACGTTGTCCCAAAAGAAATTTACTTGTTATATGACTTAAGAAACACCCCTCTGGGGCTGGGAAGTTGGCTCAGTGGTAGACTGCTTGCCTTGCATGCATGAGGCCCTGGGTTCAATTTCTCAGCACCACATAAACAGAAAAAAGCTGGAAGTGGCGCTGTGGCTCAAGTGGTAGAGCGCTAGCCTTGAGTTGAAGAGCTGAGGGATAGCACCCAGGCCCAGAGTTCAGGCCCCATGACTGACAAGACAAAACAAAACAAAACAAAAAAAATTCCACCTCTCTGTATATCATCTTAATAGTAACAATTAAAAACATTTAAATGAGATACTATTTACCACGTATGTATAGTTAGAACATATAACTCTGCACATTGCTCTTTCATTTATCCTTGTATTGTGTACCTCTTGTTGGAACTAGAGATTATGCTTTTTATTTTATTCATAGATGATACTGTATTTTAGTTAGAACAATCTTCTCTATTGCTATTTCTCCTTTATATTTATTTAAAAATTTTGCATGTTCATATATTGTGTTTTACTTAGAACAATTACCTCTTGCTCTCCTTTCCCTCCCTTCTCTTTTTCCTCTCTCTTCTTCCTTCTCCCCTCCCTCTCTCCCTTCCTCTTAGGGCCTTGTACTTCCTAGGCTGGCACTCTACTACTTGACCCATACATCCAGCTTTGTTTTTTGCTGGTTATTTTAGAGGTAGGTCTTGAGAACTTTATGCTGTCCTGGTTAGATTTGAATCGCGATCCTTCTACTCTTAGCCTCCCTAGTAGCTAGGATTACAAGTGTGAATCACAGGTGCCTGGCTTTGCTTCTGATATTGCTATAGTATAAATACTAGGCACCCCCCCCCCCCAATAAAATAAGATGATGGATTTTTTTCTTAGCTTTGAATTTATATTAGAATACTATAATAAACAGTTTTAGCCTCTGGTAATTGTGTAATCATATTTACTCTATTCTATACACTACTTTTACAAATGGCTATGTCAACTAAATAAATATATTTCTGTGACTTTTCTCTGAGGAAACACTTCAAAATATTTTTTTAAAGAATTCACACCTGTTATCCTGGCTTCTTAGAAAGCTGAGATCTGAGGATCATTGTTCAAAGCCACCATGGTCAGGAAAGTCCATGAGATTTGTATATTCAGTTAATCACAAAAAGCCGGAAGTGAAGCTGTGGCTCAAGTGGTAGATTTCTAATCTTTAGCAAAAAATCCCAGGACAGTATCCAGGCTGAGTTCCAGCATGCACATGCGTGCACGCGCACATGTGCACACACACACATACACACACTTCCAGCCCCAGGACTGGTGCTCATGTGTACACACACATACACTTCCAGCCCCAGGACTGGGGCACATGTGTACACACACACACACACACACACACACACACACACACCCAGGACTGGTGCGCATGTGTACACACACACACACACACTTCCAGCCCCAGGACTGGTGCTCATGTGTACACACACACACACACACACACACACACACACACACACACACACACACACTTCCAGCCCCAGGACTGGTGCTCATGTGTACACACACACACACTTCCAGCCCCAGGACTGGGGCACATGTGTACACAAACACACACACACACACACACCCACACCCAGGACTGGTGCGCATGTGTACACACACACACACACACACACTTCCAGCCCCAGGACTGGTGCTCATGTGTATACACACACACACACACACACTTCCAGCCCCAGGACTAGTGCGCATGTGTACATACACACACTTCCAGCCCCAGGACTGGTGCACATGTGTACACACACACACACACACACACACACACACACACACACACACACACACACACACACACACACACACACACACACACACACACACACCCAGTCCATAATACTGAAAGAGGATCCCTTCCTCTCCACCCCCTATTTGTAGGCCTACCATTTGAGCTACATCTCTAGCCACTAAGACTTAGCATTTCTCTTTATTAAAGCCTAATCTTATTTGAATTAGCCTATTGGTCCAGTTGTAAGGTATATTTTTGAATCATTGTAGATCATCTCACTTTTTATTGACTGTTTTGTGTAATCTGTGAGTTTGATTAGTATGCGTTCTAGTCTTCTAAGTAACTGATTAATGTGTATGAGCTGGTCACCTGTATGTCACATACTGATCCTTTTACTGAGGCTCACTTTTGATTTTCACAGTTTAGAGTTGCAATTGGCCAAATTTTTCCCTATAAAAATTGAAGCAGCCTTTGCTTTTATTTTTTCTAGCACTACACTTTCTATCCTTATGGTTCAGAAAGCAGACTTTGGAGCCAGAGTTTTAGATTCTAATTCAGGCCCTGTCACTTACCAGCTGTGTAATGGTAGTCAAGTCATTTCTTTGAAATCTCAGATCTTTAATCTGTGGAATGTACATATTTCGTGGGTATAGGAGGATTAAATTAGTTCCCTGGCACATAGTATTATTGTACTCACTGCTTGTTTTGAGCTTAACAATCAAATACTGAGTTCTTTGAATTTCTGAGGTTAATTTGCTTGATCTTACACTTCTAGGATATTAACTCAGGACCTTGAGCTTAAACTCCATGTCCTTTATATAGATTTGAGCTGAAGTGTGCTTCAGTGTTCTACCCTCAAGTGGTAGAACACCTCCTTAGCAAGTGCAAATTTCTGAATTTAAACCTTAGTACCAAAAAAAGAGCTTCTTTAATATTTTACCTGGTAGAGTTAATTTTTAATGTTTCACCTGATAGAACTGATGGAAGAAAAGTATTGTAGTCTTCTTTTCATTATAAAAGAGCTAGTACTTGAGAAAGGCAATTAGGAAGAAAACAGAAAAGTGAAAGGATCAATTTGTGGTTGAGCACATGGTTTTTGTCAGCTTGAGGCCTAGGGTTCAAGTACTGAGGGTGGGAGAAGAAAATACTCAGCCTCTAATACAACTACTACTTTTTCATTTCCCTTCCTCCACCATTTGGTAGTTGTGGTTATGTCATTTGTGGCTTTGTTGTATGTATATTTTATTTTTGGGGTTATATCATATTAGGAATTTTAAAACTATATATTCTTTGTTTAAAAAACAGTTTCAGTGGTTGTATAACATCGATAGTTAATTATTTTCCAGATGCCCATCTTTTAGGAAATTACCTCTCTACTATACTTGATCACACTCTGATTAGCCCCTTTTTAGTAAAAGCTTTTCCAAAGGCTATCGTTTTTGTAAGGATAAAGTCCAAAGCTAAATTCTTAGGACAGAAACTATGAACGTTTCCAACACCTATGAGTTATTTTATTGAAGATGTGACTAAAACTCCCATCTTTGTAGTAATGCCAACAGTTTTTCCCCACCACCATGCTCAGAATTAAGTCCTAATTTTTTTTGGTTTTAATTTGCTTTTCCCCTAAGGCTCATGTCAACCTTGAATTTTATATTCTCAGGCTTACTTTAATAAGTTCTTGGTGCTCAAGTTATTCTTTTGTAAATGTTCTGTTAAAACAAAGTTTATGTGGTATGTAGGCTACACTAGGTGATATTTCTTTTCTTTTGCGGTTTTTAATTTTTTTGTTTTTATTAAGTAGTTGTGTGAATTGGTTACAATTCCCTAAGTCAGTTTATGAATACAATGCTTCTTGGTCAATGTGGATGATGCTTAAGTGCTGGTAGGTATTTAGTTCTAGGGAGAATAGAAGAGGAGATTGGCTGGTAAAATTTTCAGGCATCCATTCTTCAACTGGTACCTGAACCTCAACGTAGATTCTAACTACCTGTTACCTGGCAGAGTCACACTTCAGGTAGCTGCCTTCTTTTTACTTTTAAGAAATGATGCGTTCATAGTAACAAACAGGCTAAAATGGCAATTTAATCTATTTGGAAAGCTTGCTTTCCTCCTCTCCCCCTTTAGTCATTAATTGGCAGAGAAAATTTTAGGAATTCCACAAGATGGAACTCATGCCTAGCTTATATATTGAATATTTTAACTTTTTAAGTGTTTCTGGGTATTTTTGTTAAACATTTAAATATTTAAGTGTTACTGTATGAGATCAAGTGCCTGTTCATTTCAGAATAAACGGGAGAAAGAATCAAGTATGTTCCTTTAATACCACCGACCACCTTCATCTTTCCAGTGTTATGTCTAGAGCACTCAGGGGATGTAGATGCTTGCAAATGTTGTATAATTGAATGTTCATCTTCATGTTTGCATATATATTTATTTATAACTATGTCCATGTTTCATTTATTTAAGATCTGGACTTTGGTAGTTGGCTATGTGTTGGCCGTTTCATTCAAGTGGAATGCCAGCACTGAACGCTATCTGAGAGCAGTTTCAATTCCTGTCTGGATTATCTTGCTTTTTCATTTAGGTGGGTTCTTCTTCCTCCTTATTTTTTTAAGTCCAGTTTAATATTAGCAGATGCTCATTATATAAGGGATAGTTCTTTGTAGTGTTACATTTAAAATTAAAATGTAAAGTGAGTTCTCTGTAATGTTACATGTAAAATGTTATGTGTAAAATTTTTTAAAAAGGGAAATGTTATGTGTTACTCCCATTAATTTTTAATGAAAAATCATATGTTTTAAAATGTTGATCTTTTGGGAAGACTGAATGTCTTCTGGCTCTGACAGACTCCTAATTCATGCTCAAGTCTTTGCTCAATTAAAGTGTACTTTTTTTAAATGTCAAGCCTTGAATTACATTACATATCCTATTTCAACAAAGCCCTTTAAAAGTAAGTATATAGTAAGTAGAGCACACTTAACTGTCACAGTCATTTTTCATATGTCAGTGTTATAGAATATACAGATAAGTAGTCAAGGATTAGAGGTGCTTCTGTGTATTAAGTAGTCAAAGGGACCAGAGATGGTTACCTTGAGTAAGAGCCAGGGACTAAGACAGGAGTGAGAGAGCACATGGAAATGAGGATATAAAATATAAAGGCCTGTATCTCATATTTAAAGGACTGTGTCCTGTGAAAGAGTGCTTTAAGCAGATCTCTGTAACCGTGAGGAGTAGCTGTCAGATCTGAATAGCGTTACAAAAGACAAATCCCTAGTCAACAGGAGTAGTAGTTGATGTCTAAGTTGCTGAGTGAGTTCCTTCTTACACGAAACCCTTCATTGTTAGCTCTGTGGCTACTGCGATGTTGTAGAATGATGGTCTTAGCATGATACATGATGTATGGTTGTTCTCAATATTTCAATGGCTGAGCTGATGAAAATACTAAGTTCTAATTTTAAAAGAAAATTTAGTTATCCAGTAGGTAGTCTAAGATATTTTTTAGAACAAAACCGTTACAAATAAAAAGTTGATTGAAATGGTTTTTTGATTAGACTTTGATTTAACAAAATATTATTGGAGGGCTGGGAAGGGGGCTCAGTGGTAGAGTGCTTGCCTTGCATGCATGAGGCCCTGGGTTCGATTCCTCAGCACCACATAAGCAGAAAAAGCCAGAAGTGACACTGTGGCTCAAGTGGTAGAGCGCTAGTCTTGAGCTGAAGAGCTGAGGAACAGCACCCAGACCTAGAGTTCAGGCCCCATGCCTGGCAAAAAAAAAAATATATATATATATATATATTATTGGAATACTAATTTGACTTGTTTTATGTTTGAGGAAGGTAGAAAAGGGAAGCAGGCAGGTATGTCTGTCTGTAAGGTAGTAGATGGAACTCAAGGACATATAAGTGGTTAGATGTAGAGACCTCACCCTTGGAGACTTGTTCACATTTTTTTCTTGACTTTCTGAGGAGGATACGTGCTCTTGAGGGCTCTTTGATCTTTTTTTTTGAAAGAATTCATGCCTAGTGATAGTTTTGAAAAGTCAGATCAGACTTCATGACTTGAAGATCTATGCCTGATTCTGTTCATTTGGGCTCACATGTGGGGTTTGAATTTGGGGTGGTCTTAAACTGAATGTGCTTTAGGAGGGACTAAATCCCATCGGTGACACAAGCCCCTGAAGCATGGGCTGCTGGTACATACTTAAGACCAGAGAGCATGGATAACCTAGAAGAATTCCTGGATTGAGATTTGTCTAATTAATGGCCTTTCAAAATATGTTCATAGTGAAATAACTTAATAAGTATATGCAACAAATTGTTCTGTAAGTCTTCAAAACTGATTATTTAAAGAAAGTTCTAGGTGTTTATTTCATTAAAAATATTCTTAATAATTTTCAGCATCATTGGCTGGCTCATGGAGAATTCCAGTATTCCTGGTTATTGTTTTCCTGATGTCTGTGGGCACCCTCTATGAAAAGCAGAATGGGAAAGAGTCTGCTGGTAAGAAATACAGTATTCTGTAAATATTGTCATTAAGAGTATTTTGAAGAATAGTTTTTTTGAATGATGCCACGATCAAATCTCTGAGTCTATATAACAGTCTTTAGTAGTTTCTAAATAGAAAATAAGTTTATTTAAAATATCTTAGGTTTAGAAAAAAAGACAAGAAAAGACAGGAAGAAAAAAATACAATAAAATACCTTAGATTTTTAGACCATTTTTTAAAAAATATTTTTTGATATTTATTAGTTGAGGTATAGTTCATATGAAATTAACCATCACTCACTTAGAATATTTATTTAGTATATTTATAGTATTATGCAGCCATTAGCTTCATCTAGTTCTAAGACATTTTCATTATCCCAAAAGGAAAGTGTACGGGTACCAATAGTTTATTACTTTGTGGCCGAATATGCTACCATATGTATATGTTGAGTTTTAGGAGTCCTTTAAGTTTTGTTACATATGTGAATACTTAGCAGATATATTGTTTGTAAGTATCTTCTGCCATTACGTAGTTTGTCTTTTCTTGATGGCCTTGTTTGATGTACAGAAAGCTTTAGTTTTTTTTTTTTTTGGGTCCTGTCTGGGGCCTGAACTCTGGGCCTGGGCGCTGTACCTCAGCTCTTCAGCTCAAGGCTAGCGTTCTACCACTTGAGCCGCAGTGCCACTTTCGGCTTTTTTCTTTTTGCTTATGTGTTGCTGAGGAATTAACCCAGGGCCTCAGGCATGCAAGGCAAGCGCTCTACCACTGAGCCACCTTCCCAGCCCAAGCTTTAGTTTTGAAGTCTAATTTTCCTATTTTTTCTTTCATTACTTATGCACTTGGTATCATAGCTAACAAACTATTACCAAATCCTATACAATGAATATTTACTCCTATACTTTCCTCTGAGAACTTTTTTTTTTTTTTTTTTTTTATTTGCCAGTCCTGGGGCTTGAACTGTAGGCCTGGGCACTTTCCCTGGCCAGCCGCCTTTTGTGCAAGTCTGGCACTCTACCACTTAAGCCACAGTGCCACTTGGCTCTATCTGTGATTAATTGGAGATAAGAGTCTCACAGACTTTCCTGCCCCAGAATGTCTTCAAACCATGATCCTCAGATTTCATCCCTCCTGAGTAGCTAGGATTACAGGCATGAATGAGCCACTGGCACTTGGCTTAAACTTTATGTTTTTTATCTATTTCATTTAGGTCATTGACTCATTTGAGTTAATTTTTATATATAGTGGAGGTAAGGGATCAACTTTTTTTTTTTGGCAAGTAAAAATATAGTTCTAGCATAGTGTTTTTTTTTCCCCCTTGGTACTCTTTTTAAAAAAAAATCAGTCAAGCATAGATAATAGATTTGTTTCTGGACATTCCATTCCATTTTTTTCCATTTCTAGTATTCCCACTCCCATTTCATTCCATTTCCATTCTATTGATTTGTGTGTTTGTCCTTATGCCAGTACCACAGTGTTCTGATGACTATAATTTGTAGTAGGTTTTGAAGTTGAGTTGTGTTTTTTTACCTTTGTTCTTTTTCAAGATTGTCTTGGTTATTTGAGATCCTTGAATTTCCATGTCTATTTTAGCATCATCTTCAATACTTTTGCAAAAATGTCTGTCTTTGTGTGTGTGTGTGTGTGTGTGTGTGTGTGTGTGTGTGTGTGTGTGTGTGTGTGTGTGTGTGTGTGTGTGTGTGTGTGTGTGTGTGTGTGTGTGTGTGTGTGTGTGTGTGTGTGTGTGTGTGTGTGTGTGTGTGTGTGCCAATCCCAGAAAATGAATTTAGGGCCTTGTACTCTGGCTTGGCTTTTTTTTGGTCATGGCTGGTGCTCTGCCACTGTGCCACACCTCCAGCCTGGCATTTTTGCTGGTTAACTGGCAATAGAGTATTGAGGGATCTTCTGCCTAGCCTGTCTTCAAACCTTGATCTTCTAGGTTTCAGCCTTCTGAGGAGCTAGGATTATAGGCCTGGCCACCAGCACCTGACCTATAATGGTTTTTGATAAGGACTGTGTCAAATCTACGACCACTTGGGGGATTACTGACATCTTTACACTATCACAACAAAAAAAACCCTTCCAGATAAAGGACATAAGATGTATTTCCAATAATTTAGTTGTTCTCTAATTTCTTCCACAGTGTTCCACAGTTTTTAGTGTACGAATGTTATACTTGGTTTAATTTACTCCTTAGTTTCTAAAAAAATTATAAATGAAATGTTTTCTTAATTTTTTTCTTGGATGGTTCATTGCCAGTGCATAGTTAGAAATAAAACTGATATTTATGATCTTGAATCTAACTTCGTAGAATTTGTTAGTTTCAGTTTTTGGTTTTATTTATTTATTTTTTTTTTTGGTAGGGATTGAACTCTGGGCTTGGGTGCTGTCCCTGCGTTCTTCAGCTCAAGGTGAATGCTCTACCGCTTGAGCCACAGTGCCACTTCTGGTTTTCTAGTGGTTTATTAGAGATAAGAGTCTCACGGATTTCCTGCCCGGGCTGGCTTTGAACCGCGATCCTCAGATCTCAGCCTCCTGAGTAGCTAGGATGACAGGCGTAAGCCACCTACGCCCAGCTTTTAGTTTCAGTTTTTTAGTTAAATTTTTAGGATCTGCTAAGGAATGGTTTATATGTCTTAAGTCTTTTTTTTTTTTTCTTCCTGTACATGGGGCTTGAATTAAGGGCCTGGGTGCTGTCCCTGAGCTCTTTTGTTAAAGGCTAGTGCCCTACCACTTTTAGCCCCAACTCCACTCAGTTTTCTGGTGGTTAATTGGAGATAAGGGTCTGGTGGACTTTTCTGCCCAGGCTGAATTAGAACTGTGATCCTCAGATCTCAGCCTCCTGAGTAGCTAGGATTACAAGTGTGAGTCACAAGCATCTGGCTTTTTTTTTTAAGCACAAAAAAGTGGGTCATAGGGAACATTCTCTTTTGGAATATGCATTTTAAACTTAATTATGTCATGAGCACATTTCTGTGTTAACATTCTTCTACAGCATTATTTTTAGCATCTTCATTTTATTCTAGTTACAAGGCTATTTATATCACTTGATATATTTGTATAGCTATCTTATAAATTGTTTTTTTAAAAGTGAATTGTTGGGCTGGGAAGGTGGCTTAGTGGTAGAGAGCTTTCCTTGCATGCATGAGGCTCTGGGTTCAATTACGCAGTACCACATAAGCAGAAAATAAAAGCTGGAAGTGGCGCCCTGGCTCAGGTGGTAGAGCGCAAGCCTTGAGCTGAAGAGCTTAGGCATGGCGCCCAGGCCCAGAGTTCAGGCCCCACGACCAGCAAAAAAAAAAAAAAAAAAAACTAACCAAAGAGAAGTTTTACCTTGTTTTTCTTCCTGTTCTCTAGTTGTAGGTGATTCAGATCGCTCTGCTTATTACCCTCACTGTAGTTTGGCTTTCCCTTTGGGTTGCTTTTGTCCTGAGTTATGTACTGTCAGCTACACGTATCTGTTCAACCAACTGAAGCTGGAAAATATTTCGAAAAAAATTATATCTGATTTCATTAGAAATCAAAAGGTGAGTTTGTTCCCTAGGTTTAGAAAACTTCTGGATCATTATTGAGTTAGTTTTAGCATCTTCTAAATCCAGGGAACTTGGTTACTTTCTCTTTGATCTGGGGAGCTCTTATAAGCATATCTGGAAAGTCCAATATCAAGTGTAGGGGGGAAAAAAGCCATTTAAATGCTTTAATGCCTACCATTTGCTAAGAACTTCCTTTCAAAATTTAAGTAATTGGGGCTGGGAAGGTGGCTCAGTGGTAGAGCGCTTGCCTTGCATGCCTGAGGCCCTGGGTTCAATTCCTCAGCACCACATAAGCAAAAAGAAAAAGCCGGAAGTGGCACTGTGGCTCAAGTGGTAGAGCGCTAGCCTTGAGCTGAAGAGCTGAGGGACAGTGCCCAGGCCCAGAGTTCAGGCCCCACGACCGGACCCAAAAAAAAAAAAAAAATTTAAGTAATTATATGACAATTCAAAAATGGGTTTTTAAGTATGATACATTTCGATCAGTATCATCCCTTCTATTCTCCCCAATTTTTCTAACACTACTCATACCTTCAAGTTACCTTGCTTCATTTTCACATTTGTACATTGAATATAATAACTATATTCTCCTTCTCTTTCTCTCTGTATTCATTTATTCCTTCTCCTCTTGACCCCTCCCTACCCCCCAAAAAAACAAACGAACAAGCAGACATGTTTCAGATTTCTGGTTAGGAACTTTTATATGCTTGGTAATGGGGCATGCCTGTAGTCCCAGCAGTTGGGAGGCTGAGACAGGAGTGTTTTGAGTTGAGGACAGCCTAGGTTAGACAGGGAGATTATCTGAAAAATCAATACTGCCAAGAAGTGCTATCTTTTGAAATCTTAAAAAAAAAAAAAACCTTAACTACACACACACACTCAGACAAATAAATCAAAAGTAGCTTTGTAAAATAGATGACAGATCTGTTTGCAGATGTAGGAATTTAGTTCAGATGACTTGTCTACAGTTACACAGGTGGAGCTAAGATTTAACCTAAGGTCTTTGACCTTTAGCTCAGTGTTCTTTCCCTTTGAATAATCATGAATGACCTTCCTGACATTGGTAATTATAAGGGGACCTGAAATTCCTTTGCAGGGAATAGTTGGGATCACATGTAATATGAATAAACACATGTGATCCAATTAAGTTCAAATAGGAAAAGTAGAGAAGTGGACTAAACTTACTACTTACCTCTTACTCCATATTTATGGTGCTATCAGGTAAGTAGTCCTAGAAGAACTCCTGGTCCATATCTAGGGCCTCCTGAGTGACACTTGAAGCAGTTGAAAGAAGATATATTTTCCACATTAGTAGTAGAAACAGGTTTCTTCAAAGGAAACCTTGCAAGCTGGGTATGCTTTAGTTGATAGGTATTCAGTGCCTCCATCTAGCAGGCATCTTTGCAGGCATTTTTGCCAACTGCCACTATTACTGGGAAAATGAAGTAGACTAGGAAGTAGCCTTTTATTTAGAATGTTTCCAGAATATATCTTCTCATGATTATTAAAAAGTTAGTCTGCTTGTTGTTATATTCGTTGTATTACCAGATTTTAATCTGAACGTGTACTCTCTTTCTCTGTGCTAGTCTGAATTTCTGTCCTGGTCAGTGGCCTTCTTCCTTGAACCTGTGACTCAATTCATACTACCTCTGTCCCTGGGGAAATTCATACTTGAAGCTTTAGATACTCTTTCCTTTTTTTTTTTTTCTTCTGTGCTTGGGTCTCAAGATAGAGTCCCTTGTTTTTAACTTTTTTTTTAAACTGAGTACCATGACCTTGTCTAGAGTTTAGCCTTGGCATTCTTCTGTTCAGATCCTTAGGGTTTTGAAATGCTGAAGGACACCACTGTGGGAGAACTCATTAAAATGCTTGTTTGATAAGAGCCTTTGCCCAAGTACTCTTCATTGATTTTCTCTGTGTGCTATGCCTTTCATATTTTTGTGAAATTCAAGATAGTCTAAAAATTGCTGAATCTTTTGTATATTACCTAGAAGAGCTTGCATGGGTTTATTGATGTTAGCAAAAATTGTTGAATATGTACTGTATATTCGCTGTTAGTTCTTATTAGAGTTAGTTCTTAAGCCATTGCCTTGAAGATTCAATATATTGATTTTAGTTTACTCTATACAGAGGGGAGATGGAAAAATATCTACTAAGGGCAATAAGACTTAAGCAAATAGATATATTGTTAAGTAAAAGGGATAGGCTGTACAGAGAAATATCTTGGTCCTGGTGGCTTATGCTTATAGTTCATTCTATTAAAACCAATAGTTTTGGCTACGATTTATTGAGTGCTTTTGCATACTATACATTATCATGGGAATTTTATATGTGCCGAAATAAGAATTTACAACAGCCCCATTTTGCCCATATTGAAAAAAAGATGTAGGCATTAATAACTCGTCTGTGGTCATCTACATAGTAAGGATTGGGCCTGGGATTTGAACTTGGGTAGTCTTGTTTTCTCACATATACTGCATCTCTGAATTGTCCTTCCTCTGAGCACAGGAACTCCTGAGACTTTCCATTCTCTGGTCTCTGTTTTCCATGTACCCGTCCACCCTTCTAATTATACCCTGTGGTTTGGAGTACTTTGTAAGAGGACACTGCTCTTTCTCTTTCTCTGCCTGTCTTGGAACATGTTTGCATCCCTATCTTCTAAGGAACCAGCCTCTCTCAGTCCTTCTCCAGAGTAGATTTGTTCTATTTTTTTTATCTGGTTAGTGTTTGCGAAAGTGGATTTAGAGGGTGGCATAATTGAATATTCTTGGAAATAGCTCCTTTGGAAACCTTCTCTGATCTCCCAGCATGGATTAGGTTTCCATCCTGTAGCCCCACACACTTCCTATGTTACAGTGGTGTCCTATCTGAGGATTATATTGTTAGGCTGACCTTGAGGCTGGTGTCTTGGTTTCTTATCTCAGTTTAATGGCCCAGTCACCTCTTCAGTGAGTGAATACTTGGTGGGGGGGTGGTGACATTTAGCAATGTACGTTAAAGTGAGGCTGAATGAAAGTACATATTTGAGGAGATCTAAGATGATTTTGTAATCTTGGAGCTACATAAAAGACACCAAGAAACTTACTTCGATGTGCCTCAAAAGTGAGCCACCCTCTTATTCAAGGACAAGCTTTGTGTATTTTGTTAGAATGACATCTATTATCTTTGAAGCTTTCAACAACATTTTTACAATCTTAAGTGATTTAGATTGATGTTACCTGCTGTATTATGTTGCTTTTCTAGTGTATTCATATTTGTAGAGCTTAAAAAGTACATAATGAACATTAGTGAGACTGCTGTGGAAATTCTTAGGTCTCCCCTGGCATTGATCAACTGTTTTGTTTAGTATGGTAAAGCTTTCTTCCAGATAAAACCTGTCTTTGGCCCTGGAAGTCGGGGGGGGGGGGGGGGGGGGAGTGAGTCTCCACTTAATTGAATTGCTTGTGTACAAGTGTATTTAGTAATTTAGGACCTTTGACTAGTTGTCCATTTTGTAAATCAGAACAATACTACTTTTTAGCATTTTGACTGGAAGGCTCCTCTCCTCCCCCCAATCTTTTCTATTTCTACCTTACTGTCTTGAGACAGATAGAATAATAATAACAAATTTTGTTATTGAGTGGATTCTAAGACATCTCCTTTGGGCCTGCTTCTAAGAAACTAATCCTGTCCTGTCTCTGGTGCCCTTAGTCTCTTTGTGAAACTTATGTCTAGAATTCTTAACAGACTTTTAGCATCATTATCTGATTCCTCATTTATTGTTTTAATTGTAATCTGGAAACCTACACACCTGTACCTTTGATTTCTATAGTTAGTCACTGAGAATGGTCTACTTTGACTTCTCCCTGCCTGTTGAGTCTAGTCACTTCTACTTTTCCTTTTGCCACTGTGAACTGTACTGTTACTACATCTTGGCTATAATACCATAGTAGCTCCCTGAGGTCTCTTTAGGTCTTCTGTTTTTCTTCAAACAAGCAAGAATGATCTTTACATTTCAAACCTAGTCATTTATTTACAAGGTAGAAGGGGGGTGAATACAATTACAAAAGGCAAGGGATAAGATCCTTGTAGTGAGGATACTGTTTTGTATCTTGTATTCCTACTGAAAGCCTCCAGTTCTGCAAGACATTTACATTGGGGAAAACTGGGCAAAGGGTAACACAGAGATTCTAATTCTCTTCTTTTTTGGGGGGAGGGTAGATGGAGGGGGGTTGGTTGTGGGCTTGAACTCAGGTCCTAGGCACTGTCCCTGAGCTTTTTTGCTCAAGCCTAGACTACCACTTTGAGCCAAGGTGCCCAGTTTTTCCAGTTTTCTGGTGATGAATTGGAAATAAGAGTCTTACAGACTTTCCTGCCCCAGCTGGCTTTGAACCATGAATTTTGGAAAGACTAGTCATCTAAGCTTAGCTCGTATATAGGTAGAATCAGCACAACCAGAAGAAAAGCTCTTGGACACTAAAGGACTATTTGGTTATTTTCACCAGCCAAGAGTCAGACATCACAAACTTCTGTTGAGTTGCCACAGTAAAACTATATGTCTCCATGGCTGCTTGACATGAGAACTGTGCCCCTTCCAAATGATACTATGATATTCTTGTCTTACACATAGATGCTCTTGCTTGGTAAAAATTGCATTACATGTGATCTGCTTTGCTGCAAAAGAGTAAGAAATACAGTCCTTACTTTCCAGCCTCTGTTGTGTAAGAAACTATACTAGAACATAATATTGTGTGAGCTAGTCTGCATCATATGCTGTGGTAGCTTAAAAAGTGACCATTTCAAATAGACCTTACTTGCTAGTAACTGTTTTATTTGAATCCAGTGCAGATGATTCAACTTGGCACTACCTATTAGAAACTTAACATGGAAATGTATAATGATGTTTTTTCCAAGTAGTGGATTTTGCCTCCAGTGGATTATTTACTTGTGGATCTATATGGTTTTGCACAATATCTATGCATTTACATGTTTATCGAATGTTATTACTGAGAATATCAAATATGGATTCTCTGATACTGTACTAGAAACTAGTAATACAAAGTAGAGTAAGACAGTTTAATCCAAAGAGCTTTCAAACTTGCTTTGGGTATGCTTTTCAGTAGAAGTGTGCATTACAGTCAACTGCAGCACAGTGGCTCATGCCTCTAATCATAGTAACTCGGGGGAATGGAGTGGGGTGGGGGTGGGGGGTAGAAATTGGCAGAATTTTGATTTGAGGCCAGACTGTGTAAAAGTAAGTGAAACCTATCTCAGTAAGGCAGGCATAGTAATCTATAATTCCAGCTAGATAGGAAATACAAGTTGGAGGATTGCAATCTGAGGCCAGCTCAGGCAAAAATGTGAGAGACCCTATCTGAAAAACAGCCAAAATAAAGGACTGGAAGTATGGTTCAAATTCCAGTACTGGTGGGATGGCATGGTAGGGAGGAGGTTTTCTTGTGAAGTTAAAAAAAATTATAAGCCTAGTATTTCAGATATACATCTGTTATCCACACCAGATTCCCAAATACACAGAAAGTTCTAAGACTTAAATGTTGCTGATTTTTGAGCATTCTTCTACATGGAAAAATAGTCCAGTGGATCAGAAATAACTATTTTATTTCATTTCTGGTGAAAATTTTGCATTATTGTTAAACTATGTATTTCCTGTTTTGTTCATTTGCTTTAAAACTTTTTTTTTTTTTTTTTTACAGGGGCAGAATTACCAGGGCAAGTTATCTCCATGGCAGCTTCTACTCTAGCAAATCTGGCCATCTCTATCACAGGGTATGAGTCAAGCAGTGAGGACCAGCCCTCCACTCTGCCTGCAGGTGACTGAAAGCATTCAAGGGTTTTCAGAAAAATGTGATGTACTAGCATCATACCATGCTACTTAGGCTTTCTGAGTACTATTCCTGAGTACTATTTTTATGCCTTTTCACTCTTACCTTATTACTTTTCATGAACTTAATTATTTACACACTTGGGGTTCCTAGCTTGGCTTTTTCCCTACTTTTTAAAAAAAGGCTTTTCTCAGCCAGGCACCAGTGGCTCAGGCCTGTAATTCTAGCAACTCAGGAGACTGAGATCTGAGGATCATGGTTTGAAGCCAGCCAGGATAGAAAAGTTCCTTATGAGACACTTACCTCCAATTAACCACTCAAAAACTAGAAGTGGCACTGTGGCTCAAGTGGTGGAGTCCTAGCCTTGAACACAAAGAGGCTCAGGGACAGTGCTCAGGCCTGAGTTCAAGCCCCACAACTGACAAAAACAAACAAACAAAAAAGGCTTTTCTCATTTTTCTTTTATTCTTTAGCATTCATTCCCTCCCCCTGTCCCCCAGAGTCCTATTTACCTTTGAAACAGTTCTTCCCCACTTTCTGATTCTCTTATTTTCTATTTCATTTTCTACAACTGTCAGTTCTCTTTGTTTTATTTTGATCTTTATTCTGTTGCTTTCTTTTCTTTCTTCTACCCATTTCACTTGCTTGTGCTCTCTCCCCTTCTTCCTTATATGAACCTCTCAGGAGGGAGAAGGAAATATGGCTTTTATTTTCTTTGTCCTAGTTAACCATTTCTTTGTCATTCTAAAGGTTAGATTTTCATGCCTCATGCTGTCCTCTTTAAAACATGTCCTCTTTAAAACATGTTTTTCTGGCTTCTGGCATTGCAGGCTCCTGAAAGATATAGCTGGTAGATTTATACCAGATTTGGAAGCAGCATACTGCTTTCACAGACTTCAGGAATGTGGAAGACCATCCGGTTTATGTTGACTTGACATGTCTGATAGTGGCAAAGATATTTGGAATTAGGGGAAGTTTGTAGTGCACTCTTGAAGAACGAAATCAGACCTGTCTTAAAGGAAGCAATCAGCTAAGAGAAAGGCATTCAGTGTTAGAAGACACATTTTCCACATTGAATCATGTTTCCAAAGTAAACAGAGGATAGTATTTTTTTTTTTTTGTCAGTCATGGGGCTTGAACTCTGGGCTTGGGTGCTGTCCTTGCGCTCTTCAGCTCAAGGCGAGTGCACTCTACTGCTTGAGCCACAGCACCACTTCCAGTTTTCTAGTGGTTTATAGGAGATAAGAGTCTCACGGACTTTCCTGCCTGGGCTGGCTTTGAACTGGGATGCTCAGATCTCAGCCTCCTGAGTATAGCTAGGATTACAGGCGTGAGCCACCGGCGCCCTGCGAGGATGGTATTTTTTTTATTATGGAACTATCATTTTTCCAAATAACAGACACACTCACCAACTTGTAACTTTCATATTGGAAAGATACTTAGCAAAGCCAAACAGAAGTATAATGTAACTGGCCTGCTTGTCAGGGTACCAAGTGCAGTCCTAGTGAGGTGAGCTGACTGACTTATATCATAGTGCATGTTATCTTTTTTTTTTTGGGGGTGGGAGGTCCGGTCATGGGGCCTGAACTCTGGGCCTGGGTGCTGTCCCTCAGCTCTTCAGCTTAAGGCTAGCGCTCTACCACTTGAGTCACAGTGCCACTTCCGGCTTTTTTTCCTGCTTACGTGGTGCTGAGGAATCGAACCCAGGTCCTCAGGCATGCAAGGCAAGCGCTCTACCACTGAGCCACCTTCCCAGCCTGTGCATGTTATCTTGACTATAAAATTTAAAGTTAAACATTTAACATGAAAAGAAACACTAAGGAAATTATGATGCCAATACTTAGTGTGCTAATTGTATATCAGGGACAATTCTATGTATTAGCAATTCAGTGGGGAGAATAAAGGAGATCAGATCTTAGTCATTCAGCTCACTTGAGCTGAGAATGTGGAAAGGATAAAATATAAAAATTTTTAAAGATTTGGACAAATAGTAGGGGGTTGAGATTATGGGTATTGTTTCTTTTCTGTTTTCTAGACTTTCTGAAATATGATATTCCTTTTCTGTTCTCCATTTTCCTAACATGATATTCTTTCATAATTAACGATTTTTAAATGAAAGGTAAAAATCCGAAGTTTTATGATTTTGATAGTTCTGTCATCATGTGTATTGAATAATATTGCCTTGAGAGCTATATGACATTTGATGTATATGATGTGTCTCATCAAAACAAGAAAGCAGAATATACCCCATAGTGAAATCTAAAATTGTGTTAAAAGAGAAAGATGGCTGGGATTGTAGCTCAGAGTTAGAGCTCTTGCCTGATATTCATGAGGCCCCTGGTCCCATCCTTAATACTACAAATGTAGTAAACAGGGAGAAATTTTTAGAGAGGTTGTAGTATATATATTTGTGCTTTATTTGGTCATATACTTTCAATGAATAAGTACAATTTTCAGCTACTTTGTTATATACTTTTCTCTTATTGTCTTTGAGTTAAATATATATGCTTATATATATATATATATTTTTTTTAAACCTGGAACAGTATAAAGTAAAAAGTAAAATAATCCAAGTGGGTGCCAGTGGCTCATGCCAGTTATCCTAGCCACTCAGAAGGCTGAGATCTGAGGATTGTGGTTCAAAGCCTGCCCCAGCAGTAAAGTCAATGAGCCTCTTTTAACCATTGAAAAGCTCAAAGTGGAGATGTGGCTGAAGTGGTAGAGCCCTAGCCTTGAGCACAAAAGCTCAGGAACATCTCCTATGCCCTGAGTTCAAGCCTTAGGACCAACACACACACACATACATTAAGATATTCTTTGTTTCCCAAATCTACTTCCCAACAAATTTCCTTTCCCTAAATTCCAACTGTGTCAGCAGCATAATTCTCCACCAGTTTTTCAGTGCACATGCAAATCTTTTTGACTAATTTAATATAATACTGAATAGTATTGAAATGTATTTTGAAGGCTTGCAGTAGGCTTGTCTAACAAATTACTTTGTGTTGTTTCCCAATGTGAATGAAATAGCACATTATTTTTTTTTCACCATTCTCTTTTCAGAATCAATGGACAAGGAAGGCGAGCCTCCTCCAACATTGTCTGCTGCTGCTCCTCCTTCTTCTTCTTCTTCCCCTTCTTCCCCTTCTTGTCCTTCCTCCCCTTCACCCACTCTGGGCAGACAAAGGCCTGAGATTGGAACATTTCTCAGAAAGAAGAAAACTAGTGACATTTACTTTGTGTCTCTTGGCTGGGCCATCATAGTTGTCCAGCTCTGGCTGAACTTGTGGATTGTGCAGTTGCTGCCAGTGCCCATTGCAGGTCATTGTCTGGTTAAGTATGATCTTGCTTGTCTCTGATAACCTTTTTCTTTTTTATTGTTGGATTTTGATGTTTGAGATAATTTCACTATTATTTAAAATAAAACAGTTATATGTTTGTACTTAAGTCATGAGCAAACATTCTGGAATTTTATTACTTTGATACTTCTTTAATATTTCACTTTTAAATTCTAAATACATTCATTAGCCTCTTATATTTTATGTGGTACTTAAGGCAGTTAAATCCATGTAGAACATTGGCCATTCAGCTGCTCATAATTCTGTAGAAGAGAATGTTAATGATATAATCTGTGGATTTGTAGTTGAAATTTGAGCATTGCATTTTAGTTTTTATAGTGTAGCTTTTTTTTTTTTTTTGTCAGTCATGGGGCTTGAACCCTCAGCCTGGACCCTGTCCCTGAGCTCTTCAGCTCACTCATCTTCATGAGTGCTCTACCATTTGAGCCATAGCACCACTTCCGGTTTTCTGGTAGTTAATTGGAGATAAGAGTCTCATGGATATTCCTGCTGATGCTGGCTTTGAACTGTAATCCTCATATCTCAGCCTCTTGAGTGACTAGGATTACAGGTGTGAGCCACCAGTGCCCAGCTTCATGCTTTTTTTTTTTTTTATTGCTATCATAAAGGTGATGTACAGAGGGTTTGCAGTTATATATGTCAAATAAAGCATTTTTTTTTAACAGTGTCAACCCTTCCCTCGTTTTCTCCCAGTTTTGCCCTCCCTTTTCCACCCACAACTTTTTTCTTTTTTTGGTTCCAGTCGTGGGGCCTGAACTCTGGGCCTGGGTGCTGTCCCTCAGCTCTTCAGCTCAAGGCTAGCTCTCTAACACTTGAGCCACAGCGCCACTTCCGGCTTTTTTCTTTTTGCTTATGTGGTGCTGGGGAATTGAACCCAGGGCCTCAGGCTTGCAAGGCAAGCGCTCTACCACTGAGCCACCTTCCCAGACCCCATTTTCAACATAGCATCTAGTGAGTACCACTGTTGCATTAATTTATCCTTTGTCCTACCATTTGTGTAATAATCTCTTACCCTCCTGTTTTATTTTATTTTCCTTTTGTCTGTTTGTTCATTAATAGTATGCATTTAATCTAAAGAAAATATAGGCTTATGTATATGTCTACAGATGGACTTATAAAAATTATGTGTGTGCATGTGTGTTTTGAATATATATATATATATATATACACATATATATGTACACACATGTAGCTGTATTAAAAAGAAATCTTACGCTTTTTTTCACCTCATTAAATCAGGTACTTTAGTACTGTACTGTGGTCATTTGAGGTTTACCTAAATTGGGCTTATTTTTGTGAAAGCTGTTTTTCTGAAGACTGACGAGAGTAAGGAAAAAGTTTTCTCTGACTCAGGTATATCTGAGAACTTTTTTGATACATCTCTGATTATTTACTTTCTTCTTATTATAAGTCCTCAATGGACGCTGTGAATTCTACTATCTAGGTTTCTCCTGCATTTCACTAGTCTTCATCTTCCAGATCAAGATTCTTCATTGATTAAAACATGATTTTTGGGAGCCTGTACAATGGCCCTAAAGTCTAAACTTACTTGCCTATTTACCTTCTAGTTAGTTAGTTTTTACCCTGCATTGTTCTCATTCAATTGGCTAGGTAATTAAATAGCTAACCATTATTTTAAACATTTGTTTTGACCAGAGCAGTATATAGTGCCTGTATTTAGGGAATTGTCAATGTCAATAGTTTAAGTTTGCTTCTACTTCTTATGTCCTTATATTTGGAACATGACAATTAATAACAAGATGCAATTATAATTAAAGTCATAGTGAACATACTATTGCCATGTATTCTGTTAAGAAATTTGTAGATATGCTTACTGAAATGTAATTTAAATTGCTCTTCTAGATGTCTTTTTTTTTTTCCCAAGATGATTTCTTTATGTTGGCAAATCATGTATGGATGCAGATTGGATCCCCTTTTCCTTAAAGTTTGTTGGCAGGGGTTAGGTTTACCTGTTAAGTTTCATATCTGAACATTCTGATTATCAGAAGAATTTATTATGAACATAGATTCAATAAGGTGGCCCAGGGAAGATTTTCCACAGTCTCTAATATAATAGTCAATAGTGATTTAAAAATGCTAATGAAGAAATTGTTGAACTGGTATGTAATGAGCTCATGGCTTAAAATATTAAACTGAACCTTCTGGAATTAAGGATGAACTTAAGAAATTGAATCCTTGGCATTAGGGAAATGATACTAGAGAGGAACAGTTATCCAGGTTCAAACTTGAAGTGAAATCTCAGGGATCAGGAACACTTCTTCTGGCCCCTCAACCTTCTTAGTTGGCTTTAACAGAAATTCAACAGGAATTTCCCTCTGCCTTGAACTCCAGTCTTCTCTAGTTACCTGACAGAGCTTATTGAATATTTGCCATTACAGTACTGGATATCCTAATAGCACCACAAACTCATCTCCTTGTGCAAAACCTCAGGGCCACTTGCAGCAGCAGCCCTGCATGCACTTGGTACCTTCCACTGTAGAGCCTTGTCTGTTTAGAGCATCAAGTAAGGAAAGAAGTCACAGTGGGAAACTGTGCCCGGCAGTGGAATAGAGTTCTAATTCCATGGATGTGGTATACCTTATATAGTCACTGAATACCAGGACATTTAAGAACAAAATTTGGGAAGAGTGCTATAATAACCACGGAGATTGAGAAATGTCAGGAGTTAGTTTTCTTTACTTGTTTTAAAAAGGGGAGGTGTGGGAGCCATTTACTATCTGCCATTTTCGTGATAAGAGCTTACATTGATGTGGGCTATAGAATAATCCCTGATTCTCCCAGGGGTTCAGGCTTCACAGATTTCACAGAACATGGTGTATGGGTAGAGAGAGTTTTAGTTACTTTGCCAATCCTTGAACTCCCCCACCCTCCTTTTTGAATGTTTATCTTTATTTTAATACTATTTTACTGTTGCATAAACCTTTTCATGTTCTAACTTTCTAATCTATAATTTGTCTACATATGCTTTTTTTTTTGTCCTTTTAGTCTGGATAATCAAAAAGCTTGTCATTCACTTTGGAGTTGTGGACTTCCTGGAGAAACGGTGCCGGGTATGGTGGCAGGTTGTTGAAGGCTTCCTGAAGGAGCGACAGGAGGCTTTAGCCCCATGGCCAATTATTGGGCTTGGAAAATTTCTGTTAAAAGTTGATAGCAAGGTATGTTAAGAACTGGGGCTGTTTTAATGGAGTTTTTATATTTCATGGTTTGAAATAATTCCATTTTATGAAATAGCATGTTTATTTTGTGAATACTGATGAAACATTTAATATGATACAATCTTATAGCTTTGAATGAGTCACAATAAAGATGGAATGGTTAATAAGTTAGAATAGGTATTGCATGCTTTTTCCTCTTAAGAATGGGAGAAAATGATTTTACAGAAGACTGACTTCAACTCCTTGGCTTAGGACCACATTAAAATCCAGAGAAGTTAAGTGATTTGCTGAAAATTAGGTAATTTGCTAGGGGCTTAGTCTGGTGAATACTTTTGGAGTGATTCCTGTTTGTCAGATAGTATGCTGAGTTCCAGACAAAATCAGATGCGTCTTGGAAAACCAAGTAAAGCTTATTAGAGGAAAGAGACAGCAATTTAGGAAAACTCAAAGGCTTAGTTTGTAAAGAGTATGGATTCATCAGGCTCTGGTGGCTCACACCTGTAATCCTAGCTAGTCAGGGGCTGAGGTCTGAGGATCATGGTTTGAAGTCAGCCTGTAAGACTCTTATCTCCAATTAACCATTCAAAAACTGGAAGTAGTGCTATGGCTCAAGTGGTAGAGTACTAGCCTTGATTGCAAAGAGGCTCAGGAACGGTACATAGGCCCTGAGTTCAAGCCCCACAATCAATGGAAAAAAAGAAAGTATGGATTCTAAATCCAAACTCTGGTTTCAGATCTCACTTGTGTTACTACCCTGGTGACCTTGGACATGTTTCTTAACTTTTCTGTGCCTTGGTTTCGTAATCAACAAAATAAGTATAATAGTACCCACCTTGTAGAATGGTTGGGAGAATTAAGTGATCTAATACATATATAAGATCCCTCTATCTGTGGCTGGTGGATTCAGTAAGCTATTTTAGGTGTTAGATATTGTTATAATTTGCATTGGAAAAGAATGTATGGGATGCATATATTTGAGCCAGAATTGCCTTATGTTGGTGATGGTGGAAAGGGAAGCCTTGTTGAGGGAATAATGTCAGCCAATTTTTAAGCATAAATTGGAATTTATTAGAGACATGTCAGGTAAAAGCTGGGCGATGGAGCAGTGAAAAAGATGAAACACTGAGCTTGCAAGCATTCAGGTTATTTTCCACATTTTTAATTGTTGGATTGTCAACAGAATTTGTGGTTATCATTTCAGTCATTGTTTATCTTAAACAATCATTATTTATTTACATTCTCTTGATTAAAACTTTGGTAATGCATTTCCTTTACCCCTGTTTTTCCTGACAATTTCCTCCTCATCCTCTCAGTGACTGTCTTTTCTTTTCATACTATTATTGCATTCTCTAATGATATGCCACTGTTCTTATCTTCTCTTTCGTACCTTATCCCCTGTCCTCAAGCTCTGGCACTGGCTAAATAAGAAGGTAAATGAACACATGGATGTCGATTTTCACTATTGAATTCTGTAACCCTGTCTTCCCTCTAGTATCTCCTTTCTCACTTGTGTTTCTGTCCATATGTCAAACTAAGCTTTTATTTTAAAAATTCTAATTATAAGCTATGGAAGGTCATGAGGCATGAGTACTGTCACAGTGAAATTTGCTAAACAAAGGTTTTTAGGTACCTGTTTCCAAGGTTGGTAAGAAATTCTCTATTGTAGTCCATATGTCCACTGTAAATAATGTCCGTATCTTTTTTCTATAATGTGGCTACTCTGATGTATTTTTATCTATTTTTCTTTTTTAAAACAATATCTTGTATATATTTTGAACATGCCATCCTCCTGCCTCAGCCTCCCAAGTGCTGAGATTAAAGGCACGTACTATGATGCCTTGTTTGTTTTCCTTTGTTGTATGAAAAGACATCAGGCAATAGTTACTGGAAAGCAAAGAAAATTCTGTTGCTTTTTCTTCTACAAATAATGCAAATTAAAAAAAAAACCCTGACAAGTCTGAAGTATTTCTACTATCTGTTGTTCTCTTTTTTTAAAAAAAAGTCGTTTCCATAATTTTATTTTTAACTTAAGATAGCTTGTAGTTAGGGCCTGTAATGGTTAATTTTGTGTTTCCAGAGACTTGAGGTTTTATCTGTGTTAGCTCCTTTTCATGGTTGGCATGGAATAGTAGCTACATTTCAAAAAACTTCAGTAATAGTAATCCAAATATATATTAGGAATGCCTTGAACAGATAGCAAGTGGAAATAGTGCTTACATGTATTCTATTTAAACATATGACTCAAAAGTCTTTAGTGAAAACACATCCTACTATAAGGGTATTTCTTGAAAATAGATTACATTTATTCTTAATTAATTTTTGTATTATTGGATATCAAACTTAAGGTTTCTTTCATGGTAGGCAAGTATGCTACCACTGACCTACACTCCCAGACCCAAATCAGACTTTGGAATATGGAGATTATAGTTCCTTTTTCTTTTTCTCCCCCTTATTCCTCTCTCCCCCTCCAGTTGAAATGGAGGTATGGAGAAATTTGATGACACCTGAAATTTTAAATTTAAATGGAAAATCAGCAGTGTGCAAAGTATACTCATTCTCTACTGCTCCTATATCACCTATACATGGTTGAATACAACTCTCTTCCCTATAAATAAATACGTTTAGTTCTTTGGAAATGATATGCAAAGTCACATTTTACTACCAAAATAGGTGATTTTGTATGTTTTTGTAATTTGTTTATATGGAACTGAAATTATCCTCAAGATAAAGAATAGCTATGTTAATTAGATACAATTTGATCCACCCTCAGTGAACTAAATGACTTAACCTAACTTACAAACCTCTGGTCAATAGCTGAATTATTTAGTTCAAAAAGATTCCTAAGAAACCAACTATTTATGTATGTATGTATGTATTTAACTAGTCCTGAGCCTTGTACCCTAGCCTTGGTGCTGCTCTGAACTTCTGTGCTCAAGGCTAGGTCTTGAACCACAGTCCAGTTGCAGCTTTTTTGGTACATAAATTGGAGATAAGAGTCTGAAGGACTTTACTTCCCAGTCCTCAGCCTCCATTGTAGCTAGGATTACATGCCTAAGCTACCACGCATATATGGCAACAATTATATTTATTTTCGTGATTACAGAAGCATACATAAAACATTCCTGTGGAATTGAAGTACAACTCCTTGACATCCTGAGTGAATGTTTCAGGAAAGCAAAATAAGTTCAGGCTTATTTCATAGGACAATTCTAGATTACAAAACATCTAGGGGCTGGGAAGGTGGCTCAGTGGTAGAGCACTTGCCTTGCATCCATGAGGCCCTGGGTTCGATTCCTCAGCACCACATAAGCAAAAAGAAAAAAAGCCGGAAGTGGCACTGTGGCTCAAGTGGTAGAGCTCTAGCCTTGAGCTGAAGAGCTGAGGGACAGCACCCAGGCCCAGAGTTCAGGTCCCACGACCGGACCCCCCCCCCCCCCAAAAAAAAAAAATCTAAGGTCAGAAAATTGCAATATTGGGTAATTTTGGTATACAAAATACCTAAGTAGAATGAATGGGAAATCAATTAAAAAGAAGTGGGACATTGGTGGCTCATACCTAGCTACTCTGGAGGCTGAGATCTGAGGATTGTGATTCAAACCCAGCCCAGGCAAGAAGGCCCATGAGACTCATCTCTAGTTACCAAAAAGGCAGATGTAGGTCTGTAGCTCAGGTCACTGTGGCTCAAGACTTGATCAGGGAAAATGTCCAGGTTCTGTTTTCAAGCCTCAGGACTGGCACCAAAAAAAAAAAAAAAAAAAGAAGTTAGATACTCCTAGCTTACACCTGTTATCCTAACTATTCAAGAGGCTGAGATTTCAGGTTCTAGACTCAAAGTCAGCATGGGCAGATAAATCTTCAAGACACATCTTTATTTGACCAGCAAAAGGAAGTAAAGACAGAGTGCCAGCTGTGAGTGAAAAAGCTAAGCTAGCATGCAGATCCTGAATTCAAGCTCTAGTGGCAAAAAAATAAAACAAAGAAAATAAAAGAGAAAGTTTAAGTGTTCCCTTATTTCCTTGAGCTTAATTATTTATTGTAGTATATATTTACAGTAAGGCTCAATTACAGTTTGGTTAAAAATGAAGGAAAACAAAGTTCAGAAAAAATAGAAGAGAAACAGCAATGGAATGATACTTTTTTTTTCAGATATTGCTATTTTTTAGGTTGTTCAAAGGAATTTTATTGTGATATTTCTATCCATGAAAATAATGTGCTTTAGCCAGGCTCCGGTGGCTCACGCCTGTAATCCTCGCTTATTCAGGAGGCTGAGATCTGAGGATCGGAGGTTCAAAGCCAGCCCAGGCAGGAAAGTCCGTGAGACTCTTATCTCCAATAAACCACTAGAAAACTGGAAGTGGTGCTGTGGCTCAAGGGGTAGAGCGCTTGCCTTGAGCTGAAGAGTGCAGGGACAGTGCCCAAGCCCAGAGTTCAAGCCCCACAACCGACCAAAAAAAAAAAAAGAAAATAATGTGCTTTGACCAATTGACACCTCCAATGCTTTTCCTTGTTCCCACACCTCAGAATAATACTTTTCCTAATACCTTGATGAATAATTTTAGTTTTAAATAAACAAGTTTTAGTTCTAAGTAAATACTTTGTACTTTATTCCTGACAAAGTTGGAATTGAGAAAATCATATTCTCTTAACCAAACAAAGTTAGATTTTGTAATGTCAATATAAATGTTTATGAGTGTTCCCCCCCTCCTCACCCCCCCCCTCAGGGCCGGGGCACTATCTCTGAGCTCTTTTGCTCAAGGCTAATGCTCTACCACTTTGCGTCATAGCACCACTTCTGGTTTTTGAGTGATTTATTGGAGATAAGAATCTCATGGACTTTCCTGCCTAGCTGGTTTCAAACCAAGATCCTAAGATCTTCTGAGTAGATATGATTACAGGCATGAGCCACCAGTGCCTGGCGTGTTCCTTGTTTTATATGTTAATCCAACCTAGATATAAAGTTAGATTTTTAATTTCTAAATAGTATCTTTTTCACTTAAAAACACATTTCACAATATGACTTTCCTAAAAATATCAGCTTCTATGTTATTTTCAAGTTATTGTTATTTGTGGATACAAATCTAGTTGTATGTCAGAAATTTCCTTATGCTACCTGTTCTAGTTTGTATTAATTGAGTACATACTGCATGCTAGAAGTGCTAGGTTTTCCAGCTACAAAAAGGAAACCTCTTCCTCTGGAAGCTTTCTTAGGTACTAAGTGTTTAGCTGGTTTCTGATTGTGAAACTTCTCATCTAGCTGATTTTGTAACTTAACCTTCAGAATCAGGCACCTGACCTTCCATATCTTTGAAAACTGTTAACTGTTTTTTTTTTTTTTTTGTTTGCTTGTTTAAAATACTGCATTGTCTTTGATGCTTTTGAAGTTGAATGCTTTGATAGCATGCACTGAAACATACATAACTTTTCTTTTAGAAGCTCTGATTGTGAAAACTACTCATTAACTTTCTGTCTTTTGAGTTCAGTATAACATTATCTTAGTGACTGTGCTTCTTGAAAGACAAAGATAAGGGGAACAACAAACTTATAAGCATCTAGTAGAAAAATGGTTTAGATCTTAAGATGGCTTTTTAACATTGTTTGCTTTTAGTATTTAACTCACTGGAAAGTATAATTCAACTTTAACTTAAGTTAGCATTGCTATCGCTTATGTTGGTATTGAGGGATGCAGTGTTGTGTCTTAACATCTAAAATTGCATGTAGATATGAAATTAAATGATAGTTTGCATAGCAGGAACTGTATAAATCAATCATCATTGTTATATATATCATATATTCTGAAAACCAAAGTTATTTAAAATGTAGAATTACTTATGAAAGATGAAGGGAAGTTATAGTCAAAACAATATTAAATAGCATTTAGAAAGCTTAATTTTAATAAGGAGCAACCACTACATTGATCATTAATGAACATTTGATTAATTATGATTATGCCATAAAGCGTGTTTTCAACATAGTAGAAACTTGAAGTGGAATTTTACAAACTTTTAAAATTTAAAATTGTTTTAAATTTAATTTTTAAATTTAAAATACTTATAAATTTAAAAAGGATTAAGGAATGCCTGTTGACTACCCTCCAGTTTGATAAAACTAAATAATTAGCTGTGCATTCTCCTTCCAACCCCTCATGCCCCAAAGAACTATTATCAGGAATTTGTTATACACCATTGCCTTCACATTAATTTTTATTATTATATTTATAATCCTAATGAAGTCAAAAGGAAACATCTTGAGTGTAATTGCTATTTTAATTTGCTTCTAATGTATCTGTGTAGTTTAGGACACACCTCTGAATTATAAGGAGCATACTTTTTCTAAATTCATCTATATTTACTAACTGACAGTATACCTTCACGAGATTTAGGTTAACTAATTATCATTATTTAGAATACTTACTAGGTTATGAATTATAGTTTGCATTGTATATGTATCATAGCATGAAAATTCAAACATGGGTATAGATTATATTCTAATTGACTAGCTTGTTAGATAATAATGAATTATACATAATAACAATATTTAATATTGTTTGATAATATTCTAAACTTGCTTATAGCCTTTATTGCTTTAATCAGTATGCTATAGTTTGCTTTGCAGTGCTGAATATTCTAATTAGTCTTAATGATATTTGAATAGGTATTTTCTTTTTTAAGTTTTTAAAGACAAGTAATTCTGTTTTTCATTTCTGTACAGATGATCATCTGGTTGGAGAAGATGTTAGATAAAATAATTAGCATTTTTATCATATTTTTGCTAGTAATAGGAACACTTCTTTTAGCCCTTCTCCTGACTGCAAAGGTAAATTGCTATAATTACTGTTTCCATTAATAAACTTGTAATTGTTAGAATTGTAGTATGGATAAACAGTTAGTGGCATGAAAAATGTTTAGCTTATAAATACATATAAGCATTGACATGTATTTATGATTTGTACATTATTAATTGTGTAACATATTTGCCTAATTTTCTTTTTAAATCTCTTTACACTCATTTCTATTTTGTTATCAAAGTTCTTGGGGCAAACAGATTTTAAAAAATGAGATACTGAGAAACAAGTGACTTTTTAGAAGTAGGATTATGAATGGGCTGGGAAGGTGGCTCAGTGGTAGAGCGCTTGCTTTGCATGCCTGAAGCCCTGGGTTTGATTCCTCAGCACCACATAAGCAAAAAAAAAAAAAAAAAAAAAGGAGTAGGATTATGAACTGGTTTTTCAAATCTTAATGTATATGGGGAGTATCCTGTTTATTAGATGAGAATTTTTGCCTGCCTCTATGCTTCCCTCTCTCCCTCTGTCCTTCTTTCCCTTTCTTTTATCTCCTCCTCCACCCCCCTCTTCCCCAATTTGCCTTGGCTGACCTAAACTCTTGGACTCACACTATCTTCCTGCCATAATAGGTAGCTACTACTTCTCTCAGATGTGAGAATTTCTCCATTAGTGCCTTCTTTTCCTGTCTTCCTGTGATATTCTGCTCATGTGCTGAAGGATCTTTATTTCTTGTTTTTCAAGTCCTTCCAGTTTACCTTTCCTAACTTTATTTCCATCTAATTAAAAAAAATTTCCAAAAGCAAAGCTAAGGTTTTATCTCTGCATTAATAGTGAAAATAACTTCTACAAATATTAGGCTTTTTGTTTTTTTTCCCTTCCTCTATGGTGCATTTTCATCTTTTATCTGAACTTTAAACTCTCAGATTTAGTGTATTATTTTCAAGGGATTATGAAGCTTACATGAAATCATAGATATCACAGTTTTTCTTATGTCTTACAGAAATGTTAGTAACTTATTGATAGATAATTTAATCTGTAGCAGTTTGTAAGCCATTGCATTGTTTGTCTGATATCTCCACTTAGAAGTCCTCCTTTTCATCTATTTCAGTCTCATTTTGTCCTCAAATTTATTTTAGTATTTGTTCTTAATAGCCTGCCCTTCTCATATTTTAGTATTTGTTCCTAAGAGCCTGCTCTTCTAGTACTCCAATTCAGTCTTATTCAGTTCCATTGTATTCCTTGGCTGTCAGTCATGAATAGTGACTTATGTTACTGTACAGACTTTAGAGACCTTTCTTTGTATTTGTCATCTTTTGTCCAAAACTGCTATTATGCAGTCTTCCATTCTAGTTCTTAGAGAAACCTTTTATTAGTAAAATATCTTCTTTTCTCCTTTTGCCTGCTCTTTTGTTCTATTTACTTCTCTTTGTCTTTTAACCCATAGAGTCTTTTTGTGTACCATCTCAATTATGTTCAGCTTTCAGGTCTTTGTTTTGTTCAACCTCTGCTTCACTGAACTTTTGTTACTCTGAACTTTGATAATGGCTATTATGAACAATTTTTTCTTGTTTAGGACTTACACATACTCATCTTTTGAGAGAACCTTACTGATGACCTAGTTTATTCTCGTCAGTAAATATGACACTATCCACTTGAATGTCTATTGGGTATCTCAGATGTAAAAACTGAATTATAGACCCTTTTTCTCAGCCATCTGTTCTCCATAGTCTTCTCATTTTAGTAAGTAGAAACTCTACTCTTTTATTTGCTTAGGTGAAAAGCCTCAGGACCTCCCTTGACTATTCTTTTTGTGTTTTAGCTACCTCTTGTTTGTCAGAAAACCCTTTTAAGGCTCAACCTTGCTAAAGTGGGATGTCACATAATTCTTTTCCATGAAAAGAGTAAAACAGTATGAAATGCTTAACAACATCATTTAAAAGAACTGAAAAATGATAAATTCACAGAAATTTTTTTTTGTTGTTGTGTTCTGATTTTTGCCAGTCCTGGGGCTTGAATGCCTGGCTTTTTCTGTTCTTGTGGTACTGAGGAGTTGAACCCAGGGCTTCATGCATACTAAGCAAGCACTCTACCACTAAGCCACATTCGCATCCTGAAATCAAGAATTTTATATTTCAATGCAACTGTTCTTTAAAAATAAAAGCAGTTGGACACTTGTGTCTCCCACCTGTAATCCTCGCTCTTCAGGAGGCTGAGGATCATAGTACAAAGCCAACCTGGGCAGGAAAGTCTGAGGATCATAGTTCAGAGCGAACCTGGGTAGAAAAGTCTGTGAGACCCTTCCCTTCAATTAATTACCAACAAGCCAGAAGAGGAGCTGTGGCTAAAGTGGTAGGGTGCTATCCTTGAACACAAAAAGTTAATGTCTAGTCCTGGAGGTCAAGCCCCAGGATCAGCCCAAAAAAATGAAATTAAATTAAAAAAGTAAAACTAAAGGCAAGCTGGGCACTGGTAGTCCACACCTGCAAGCCTAGCTACTCAGGAGGTTGAGATCTGAGGAATGTGGTTCAAAGCCAGCCTGGATGCTAAAGACTATGAGATTGATCTCCAGTGAACCTCTAAAAAGCTGGAAGTGGAGCTGTGGTTCAAGCTTTAGAGTTCTAGCCTTGAACAAAAAAGAATTCAAGGATAGCACCTATGCCCTGAGTTTAAACCTTTGGACTGGCACAAAAACATGATCAAAAATGTCCCTAAAAATAAAGGCAAAGGAAAGGGGCTGGAAATGTCCCTCTGTTGTAAAGGGAGTGCCTAGCACACAGGTGGCTCTGGGTTTAATCCGCAGCATAACTGAAATTAAAAAAGAAAAGCAAAACAAAAACATTTTTAGATAGACTAAAGCCTTATTTGATAGTGCCATCTACACTGTAAGGAATACTAAAAGAAATTTTTCCTACTTGTGAACACCTGTAATCATAGCTCTTGAGAGGCTGAGGCAGAAGGATTGCAAATTCAAGTCCTCACTTATATTGAGATTATGTTTCAGGGCTTTTTTTGGGGGGGGGGGTCCAGTTGTGGGGCCTGAACTCTGGGCCTGGGTGCTGTCCCTCAGGTCTTCAGCTCAAGGCTAGCGCTCTACCACTTGAGCCATAGCGCCACTACTGGCTTTTTTTCTTTTGCTTATGTGGTGCTGAGGAATCGAACCCAGGGCCTCATGCATGCAAGGCAAGCGCTCTACCACTAGGCCACCTTCCCAGCCCCAGTGTTTCAGGGCATTTTGTTTTTACAAAAATGCCTTTTAACTGGAGACAAATAACTTGGCAAATATGTGAGTAAATACAGGTGAGATTTACCTCTCTTCATTTAATTTGTTAAAGTGAGAATTTAAAGAAGAATTTTAAATCTGTTGTAGACTTCATAATATGTATGTGAGTTATTTATGTATTGCATTTATGTGTAGTACACCATAGCACAAACAAGAAGGCTGGAAAACAAATCTATACTGGTGTTACTACAGTTTTTTTTTTTTTTTTTGGATGCACTATGAACTGGAAGATTGTGGTAAATTAAAGATGTTTAGGTAAGTTAGATGGCAGCCATTAAAGAGCATGAAATTTAGCGGATCTAAAATGATAAACTAAAAAATATTTGCTGGACACAGAAGAGTACAGAGCAAATGAACACTAGAAATGGGACAGACAGAAAGCAAAAAACAAAATGACAGACCTAGACCCAGTCACAGCAATAGATTTATACATGTGAAACAACTAGACATTCTAATCCAAATGCAGAAATTGTCAGGCTGATATAAAAAGCAAGTTGTAAACTAAATGGTATCTGTAAGAGAAATACCTAAAATTCAAAGTAGCCAAAAAAGCAAAAGTAATGACAACAGTGACTCCTGCCCCCTAAATTACAAACTTGATAGTGAGAAAATAAAGGTAAATCTTGCAAACCAAAAACAAAAGTTGGACAAAGTCTATTAAACAAGTATTATTAGAGAAAAATAAGCACTTTACGCAATGAATTAGTACTGTAGTAAGATAAGATTTATAAAAGTATAGACTTTTATATTTCAAGTGTCCTGAGTTCAGAAAAGACAAATTTATGATTATAGTTCGAGTCAATATTTCTTGTCGTAACTGAGAAAAGAAGATAGAACACAGTAAATCAGTACGAATATTTAGGTGTCTCTTTAATATACTGTCACTAACTTTATATAATTGATTTTTTTTTTTTTTTTTGGTCAGTCGTGGGGCTTGAACTCTGGGCTTGGGCGCTGTCCCTGTGCTCTTCAGCTCAATGCAAGCACTCTACCACTTGAGCCACAGTGCCACTTCCAGTTTTCCAGTGGTTTATTGGAGTTAAGAGTCTCACATACTTTCCTGCCCAGGCTGGCTTTGGACCAAGATGCTCAGATCTCAGCCTCCTTAGTAGCTAGGATTACAGGCATGAGCCACTGGCGCCCGGCTTATATAATTGATGATTAAGAACTACATTCTTAATGTGCTGGTGGCTCATGCCTGTAATCCTAGCCATTCAGGAGGCTGAGATACAAAAGATTGAAGTTTATTACCAGGCCCTGAAGAAAAACCTGTGAGACTCCATTTTTAAAATAAGCAGCACAAAGCTATGCTGAAAGCATGGCTCAAGTGGTAGAATACCAGCTGAGCAAACAAGAGGCCTTGAGTTCAAGCCTTAATACCACCCCAAACAATATACAAGAGAGTGGAGGAGGGGGAGAGAGGGAGAGAGAGAATGAATTCTTAGCTTGGGACCAGTGCCTCATGCCTCTAATTCTAGCTTTTTTGAAGCTGAGGTTGAGAGAATAGTGGTTTGAGATCAGCCCAGTTACAAAAGTCCCTAAAACCTTCTCAATGGAGAGCTAGGTGCATTGTTGTGCAGTTATTATTCTAGCTCCAATGAGAAGCCTAATGGGCTGACTGTGTCCAGGTATGCACGCCCAGGCAGGCGGTGAGACCTTATCTAGAAAATTACCAGTGCAGCAAAGAGCTAGTGGCATCGTTTAGTGGTAAACATGGAGCATTCGTTATGATAAGCAGTATGCTCAATACATTTTGAAGTATTAAAACCATAGAACAGATTCTCTGACGACAGAATTAAATAAAAAATTAGTAAAAAACAAAAAGCAAAGAAGCTAAAATATCCCCAGATATTTAGAAATGAAGCAATATGATAATCTGCCAATTCATGTATATCATAGGACAGTATGTATAGCAGACTTTTCAGCACATGTTTCTAAGTCAAGTAAAGCTAAGATGCATATGTGTTTGATTCTAAATGCATTGTTTTAGTAATAGAGTTAAAGGAAATTTTAAAAATTATCATTAATTGAGTTTTTTCCCCCTTTATCCCTAATACAGGTACATCAAGAGAGTGTACATATGATTGAAGTCACAAGTAATTTGATTAATGAAACTGTAGCAAATCACCCTGAGTGGGCAAAGTAAGAATATTGTTCTGAAAAAGAATAGAGATGGATGGCCTAGTTTCTGTATCTGTTTGCATGAGATGAACTTTAGTGATAAAGCTACATTGGAATATGAAAGATGGGGTTTGCCAAAGTTATGACAAGTAATGTAAATTTTCTTTTGTAGAAGAGTGACATATAACAATACCTGGGAGGTAGAGGGGTGCATTTAACTCTTAGAAAATTCTGAATGGAAAAATTGTACCTCGTGTTCAAGTGCCAGTTTGTAGTTTATAGCAGGTTTGTAATTTGACCTTCCTTATGTTGTTTGATCCTCATGGTTACCCAGGTGGATTGAAGACATTGTCTCCACTTCATGGGGTGAGGAAGCAGGATTGTACATGTGTATAGTTGAGATGATAATCTCCTAGTGGCGGAGTCAGCACTCAGCCCTGTGATTTCATCCTCATGAGGGGAATTTTATAATTTGTGTCTTCTTGACTTTCTGTTTAATTCTTCACATTTTCATTTAGTATTATTTGAGCAATAGTGGGTTATTTGTGGCCCAGGGCCAAATGCAGCTACCTCTTTTTAATCAAGTTTTATTGAAGTGCAGTTATGCCCATTCATTTACTTACTATCTAAAGTAAGGCAGACAGGATTAAGTAGTTATGAATAATGTTCTACAAAGCCTAAAGGAATCTGAGGCAGAAGGATCACAAGTTTGAAGTTAGCCTGGGCTGTGTAGTAAGACTATCTCAAAAAACAAAAATCAAACCAAAACACCTCACAGCAACAACAAAAAGATTAAAACCATTACTGATTTGACATTCCACTTTTTAATTTATTGAAAATATATTTTCCTATTTACAGATCATTACTTCCCTAGGTATTGTGATTTTTATGGTTATCAGTGGCAGTTTGCTTTTTCTTCCTAACATTTTACATACCTCCCATCCCCTCCTCTTCCCGCCCCCCCCCCCCCCCCCCCACCACCACTGTGAAGCTCCTAAGAGTTTAGATTGTTGCATATTTGACTTGCTTCTGACTAGCTGGCTCTTTCCCATATATCAGCTTTGTGACTGGTGTCATATTGTCACATTTGGGTTTTATAAATGAATACTTATTCCTGGCCTTTTGGCATGACTCATGAACAGTTTAAAGTAAAATTATTAAATTTATGAATGTCAGTATCTAATGTATTGCATTATAGTGAGCAATGTGGAGAATATAGAAAATATTTTCTCTTTTGAGAAAGCTTTGGCCTTGTGGGAAGGATTCTTGTTAAAATGTCTTACACAGCCTGCTTAGTTACAGGAATGCAGGAAGCCTCACTAAAACAAAGCTGTAGAGTGAAATTCTTACATAGCTGGAATTTGCTGTAACAGTTTATCACATCTTCAAAAAGATTTTTCAGTGGATAAAAACTGAAAATGAAGTATTTCACCCTTTTAATCTTCTGGTTTCTTCCATAGTTCTTTGATCAATGAATCTTGAACTTTAGCAAGTATCGGACTCCTGCAGGAATTAGGGTGTGGGTGCTGGGCCTATATCTGGAGTTAAGCCTAGTAGAGTTTCTTTGAGGCAAAGGCAGTGAACACCCAGGCATATTTATCTCTGAGTACATTTTCCTTCCTTCCTTCCTTCCTTCCTTCCTTCCTTCCTTCCTTCCTTCCTTCCTTCCTTCCTTCCTTCCTTCCTTCCTTCCTTCCTTCCTTCCTTCCTTCCTTCCTTCCTTCCTTCCTTCCTTCCTCCTTTTTTTTCTTTCCCTCCCTCTCTCCTCTACTTCCTCTCTTCCTCTATCCTCTCTTCCTCGCTCTCCCTCTCCCTCTCCCTCTTCCCATCATTTCTTCTCTCCCTCCCACCTTCCCTCTCTCCTTCCCTTTTCCTTCCTTCCCTCTCTCCTTCCCTTTTCCTTCCTTCCTTCCTTCCTTCCTTCCTTCCTTCCTTCCTTCCTTCCTTCCTTCCTTCCTTCCTTCCTTCCTTCCTTCCTTCCTTCCTTCCTTCCTTCTTTCCTTCTTAACTTCGTCCTCCCCCTGTCTCTTTCTTTTTCTTTCTGGCTGGTCCTGGGGCCTGAACTTAGGGCTTAGGTGCTGCCCCTTGGCTTCTTTTGCTCCAGGCTAATTCTCTATTACTTGAGCCACAACTCCACTTCCAGCTTTTTGATGGTTAATTGGAGATAAAAGTCTCATGGACTTTTCTACCTCAGCTGCTTTTGAACCACAGTCCTCAGATGTCAGTCTCCTGAGTAGTGGGTTTATAGGCATGAACCATGGACACCTAGCTCTACTAAGCAATTCTGGCTACTGGTCAGTGTACTGACTTTGGAGACCATATCCAAGATACTAAATGCCCTAGACCAGTTCTGGTAGTGGGAAATTAGGCAGATGACCCAGAACAGGCAGGACAGATGAAAAAGAAAGTTGAGCGGACTGAGAGATGCTAACTCTGAAATTCCAAGAGTTAAAATTGGTCCAGTTAGGTCGGACATCAGAAACTCCTTCCTGTTCTGGGTGCCAGTACTCAGGATGCTAAGTTAATCTGAGGTAGCAGTTCAAAGCCAGCTTGTTCAGGAAAGACTGTGAAACTCATATCTCCAATTAATCACACATACACACACACATACACACAGAGCAGAGGGACAGCACCCAGGTCCTAAGTTCAAGCCCCGCAAATAAAATAAAGGAAAAAAATTCTTGTCTGTGAAGGGTATGTTTGTTTCTGTGTGTTAGTGAATGATCCGCTATGGTATTGTTCACTTAAGTACATCATGTTAAGAATACTGTTAGAAGGGTACCCTAACAATAGTCTTTTTCTTTTTTCTTTATTTTAAATCAGTTGGCTTCCTGAGGCTCAGGTGGTCCAAAGAGCTCTGAATTCTGCAGCTAACAATGTGTATCAGTATGGAAGAGAATGGATAACCCACAAGGTAAGAGAAGGATCTTTCCAGTGGCTTTCTTGTTGCAGTCTTTATAGGTAGTGACTTCCTACCTTGGAGAAAGCAAAAATGGAGATTTCATTTGAAATGATTTCCATATTTGAGATAGTCATAAGTCTACAGGTAGGCAAGCAGCATACAGTAAAATTAAACCTTTAGGATAATCATATTAATTAGTTCTGGTTACCCAAACAGTCTTAAGACATTGCAACTTAATTTTTTTTCCTAAGATATATCTGATTCATTATTTTGCTGATTCATTATATGACAGAGTTGTCACTAAACTTGGGGGATAAATAACTCTGTGGATAAAAAGGTTAAATTGCTTTTCAGGAGGATAATATCTGAGGATCATGATTTGAGCCAGCCTGGGCAAGAAAGTCTTATCTACTCTTAAATACCAAAACGCTGGAAGTGAAACTACCTTTGAGCTGGAAAAACTCAGGGACAGGGTCCAGGTTTTGAGTTCAAGCCCCAGGACAGGCGTGTGCGCAAGCAAACACATACACACACACACACACAGGACAGGCGTGTGCGCAAGCAAACACACACACACACACACACACACACACACACACAGGACAGGCGTGTGCGCAATCAAACACATATACACACACACACACAGGACAGGCGTGTGCGCAAGCAAACACACACACACACACACACACACAGGACAGGCGTGTGCGCAAGCAAACACACACACACACACACAGGACAGGCGTGTGCGCAAGCAAACACACACACACATACACACACAGGGCAGGCGTGTGCGCAAGCAAACACACACACACACACACACAGGACAGGCGTGTGCGCAAGCAAACACATACACACACACACACACACACAGGACAGGCGTGTGCGCAAGCAAACACACACACACACACACACACACAGGACAGGCGTGTGCGCAAGCAAACACATACACACACACACACACAGGACAGGCGTGTGCGCAAGCAAACACACACACACACACAGGACAGGCGTGTGCACAAGCAAACACATACACACACACACACACACACAGGACAGGCGTGTGCGCAAGCAAACACACACACACACACACACACAGGACAGGCGTGTGCGCAAGCAAACACACACACACACACACACAGGACAGGCGTGTGCGCAAGCAAACACACACACACACACACACACACACACACACACACACACCAGGCTCTGACGCACACACGCGCACACACATACCAGGCTGTGAGTTCAAGCCCCAGGGCAGGCGTGTGCGCAAGCAAACACACACACACACACACACACACACACCAGGCTCTGAGTTCAAGCCCCAGGGCAGGTGAGTGCGCAAGCAAACACACACATACACACACCAGGCTCTGAGTTCAAGCCCCAGGGCAGGCGAGTGCGCAAGCAAACACATACACACACACCAGGCTCTGAGTTCAAGCCCCAGGACAGGCGTGTGCGTAAGCAAACATACACACACAGTATTAAGTCCTCCTACCCACTGTTGCTCCTGCTGTGGCAGTTTTTAGTTACATTGAAACTTTGGAAGGAACCTGTGAACTGTTTTGCCACTTTACAGATGAGGACACAGACTTAGCAAGGCTCAGTAGCTCCTCGGTGATGTTGAAGTATAGTGGTTTTAAACTGATGACTAACTCCAGATTCCTCTTCTTTTTGAATGGTTCCTGGTAGTGCATCTGCGGAACTGGAATGAGGGCTTTCAGGGAACACTTCAGATAAACTTGGAAGAAATAGCAGATAAAGAAGAGTATGGGAAGTGGCACTGTGGCTCAATGTGGTAGAGTTCTAGCCTTGAGCAAAAGAGTTCAGAGGCAGTGCCCAGGCCCTGAGTTTAAGCCCCATGACTGACCAAAAAAAAAAGAAAAGAAAAGAAGAGTGTATTTTAAGGTTATTTATGTGTCAGAAGGGAGAGAGCTTTATGAAGGGCTCCTGAGTGATAAAGGAAAAGACACAATGCAGTTTATATTAGCCTCTGCAAGATCTACTTGGAATCCTTTCCTAGTATTAATCATGGGAGTAAAGGTAATTTACAATATTAATATCCCAAAGGAATTAGGATCATGTGGTGATTGATAAAACTTGTTTCAGTGAAGTTGTTGCCCAGAAAATGTTTCTTGTTGAAAATTCAAAACCAAAATCTCTCCCTGCCTTAATTACAGAAGGTATGCTATATACCCATATGTATGTTTATCTGCCAACCTAAAGATGGAACTGTAGTCAAGTTAAAAGTTAAGAGCTTCGGGGCTGGGAAGGAGGCTCAGTGGTAGGGTGCTTGCCTTGCATGCATGAGGCCCTAGGTTCGATTCCTCACCACATAAGCAAAAAAAAAAAAAGCCGGAAGTGGCGCTGTGGCTCAAGTGGTAGAGCTCTAGCCTTGAGCTGAAGAGCTGAGGGACAGCGTCCAGGCCCAGAGTTCAGGCCCCATGACCAGACCTCCCCGCCAAAAAAAAAAAAAAAAAGTTAAGAGCTTCTCTTGAGTCTCTCCCAGATACCAAATAGCATATGTCAGATCTTTTAATAAAGAAATTTATTGAACAATGAGATATAGATTACTATAGATATAGTTCCCTGAATGTTAGAGGAGCAAAAGCCATGCATTGCAGAGGCTTATCCCTCTGTTAATATGTTGTTTTGCTGACGGTGCAGCATTTTATTCTGATTTATATATTTGAAAGAAATTTCTGTTTGGGATGTTGTTAAGTTTGGAGAATAAGTATAACGAAAGGGAATTTGGGGTAGCTGAAACAATGTGTCTTAGATTTTTAAAGAAGTAAATTTCAAATTACAGAAAAGAAGTAAGTTTGAAATTTTTTGTTCATGATTCTAAAAGTAAAAATGGCTGAAGGGGAATAGACATTGATAACAAAAATCACAAAAATACATGTAGTCCTGATTTAGAAGACAGAGGGATAATAGCTGAAAACCATTGAAGGTACATTTAACTGGCTGAAGTTCTTAAAAAATGACCCATTTTGAAACTGGAGATACAGTTTCCGACATCTTATCTAGCTAACCTATTAGCTTCACTTTAGAGAGGCCTGAAGCTAGAGGGGAAGATGTCTTTAGGGAATAAAATATTCATTAATATATAATCTTTAATAAATAGTTTTTAATGTATGTGTTTGGGTGTGTGTGTGAGCCTAAGGATTGAACCCAGAAAACTTGCATATGTTAGGCAAGTTCTCAATCAAAGTAATTTCAATAAAATAAGTAGGATAAGATTTTATAATAAGTATGAGTTATGTTGTCTCGGTTTAGTTACATCCCACAAGCCCAGAAATCAATCACTTTAGCCACAGTTATCCGGAGTCCGATTATCTTTCTGTGAACAACCTAAGGGAAAGATTTGTGTTTATAGCTAAGGTCCTAAATTTCTTCTAAAGTTCTCATAAAAAATAAAAAAGGCACATGTAATATGAAACTTGTATAATGGATAGGCACCCAAAGGCAAAACTTCTTTGTGGGTAGATAAAGTCAAATAGGTCAATAAGCATGGCTTCATTTGCACCATCTCTGATAACCTGAATTAGCTCTCTTAGAGACCTGAGAATAGAAGAAAGAAAAAGCCAGAAGATGAGAGAGAGAGAGAGAGACAGACAGACAGACAGAGAGAGAGAGAGAGAGAAAGAGGGAAAAAAATTTACTGGGAACCTAGGGGAATAGTAACAAAGTAACATAATATGGCTAGAAATAAAGTCTAGAACATTTTAGTTTGATTGGAGCAAATGAATAGAAAAATAGCATGTATTAGCAAATTGTTGCCTAAAATACTAAATATTAAAATATTTGTATTTTTTTCCAGCTGCATAAAATTTTAGGAGATAAGATGAATAATACTGCTGTAATTGAGAAGCAAGTACTAGAACTCTGGGATAGACTATATCATTCTTGGTTTGTAAAGGTAAGTTATTTTACCTAAGGATTTCTGTTGTAAACTAATAGTCTTTTTAATTCATCTAATAGTCTTTTTAATTCATATAATAATTGACTGAATAGGATTGTGTTAGTACTGGAATTTCATTTATTGAAAAATTTAAACAGCAAGATCCTAAGTGTTATGTTACTAAAATTGAACTTGTTTCATTTATTGGTCTCCATAGCAAGACCTGTTAATCTCTCTGGTGTATCAGTATTCCATCAAACTCTGCACATATCATATACATGTTGTTCCACTAGAGAGGTCCTGTGCAGTAGAAATGTAGTGCATGGTACATTGTCTTTTTTCCCAGTGCTGGAGATTGGACCCAGGGTTTGTGTATGTTAAGCTTGAGCTCTACAACTGCGCTACATACACCATTCAGCCCCTGCAGGATACATATATGATGTTTCTACTAGCTATATTAAATAACTAAAACAGATGTGATTAATTTTAATAAAATGTATTTATTGATAGATTTTATATCCTTCTACAAAATCTTCCAAATTTAATGTGCATTTAACACCAGTGGCACACATCTCAGGTTTTGTGCTAGTAGTCCCATGATGCTAGTTGCTATTGTTTTGGGTAATACAGTTCCACACATTAAGACTTTTTAAGGAGATACTAAAAAGTGTTAGAAAACGTGTAAGTTAACCTTGTATGCCATTTATGCTTATGTACTCTTTATTTCAAAATTTGTGCCGGGGCATAACACAATCTTTCTCTGAGTATAAAAATGATTATTTTGAAAACATACAGTTCTGCTGAGCCATGCTCTATCATATGTTTTGTGGGCCATCAAGAGCTATGCCGTGTATGAGTGTGGCAGAAGTGGTGATCTTTTCTCTAGGGTTGATAGAGACGAGGTAAAAATCTCATTTGGCATGGAAGATTATGGGGCTGACTTTCTCTTCCATGAATTTCACTGTTCCATAAATAGTGATGTGATTCAGATTGTGTAGTTTGGCTGTGGGATGAGTTGAGTGAATAATGTTGGTTTTTGTGAATTTCAAAGAAGGTGAAATAAAACAGCTAAGGGTGTGTTAGATAGAGTACTCATGTATCGATTCTATCTGCTGAGAAACTAGGTAATTCATAAGGTTATATTTATTTTCTTTTACTAATTTTGGGTTGTGTATGTGAGAGTATGAGTATGTAAGTGGTGATACTGGGCCTTGACCTCGGCCTTGCATGCAATCTCAGCTTTTTGACTCATAATTGGCACTATACTATTTGAGCCACACTTCCAATAAGGGCTTCTTAATACACAGCTACTCTTATCCCTCATCCCTTTTTTTTTTGTTGTTGTTGTTGTTGAACTCTGGGCCTGGGAGCTGTCCCTCATGCTCTACCACTTGAGCCACAGCGCCACTTCTGGTTTTCTTGTAGTTTATTGGAGATAAGAATTTCACAGACTGGAAGTGGTGCTGTGGCTCAAGTGGTAGAGCGCTCGCCTTGAGCTGAAGAGCTGAGGGACAGGGCCCAGGCCCAGAGTTCAAGCCCCACGACCGACAAAAAAAAAAAAAAAAAAAAAAGAATTTCACAGACATCTCCTGCATGGGCTGGCTTTGAACCACAATTCTCAGATCTTAGCCTCTTGCTTAGCTAGGATTACAGGCATGAGCCACTGGTGCTAGGCTCCCTCATCTCTTTTGAGCCTCTTTTGATGATGTAGGGAGGATCAGTCTTAAGCCCAGATCTGCAGGTGGTTAAGTTTAGGGTAGAGTCTGCTTTTTGTCTTTTTGCAAAAGTGAGGGGATTAGCATCACTGTTTGAAAAGATGGGAGAGCAGAAGCATATACAAAACGTTAAGAACTTACAAGCTAAGCTTTAACCTCACCACTGTGTTTATTTGTACATCTTTCAAATTGGTTATTTCTACACCCCCGCCCATGATCTCTCTTCTGGATAGGTGAATTACCTTTCCTTTTTTATTGTTGGTTCTTCACCATCTTGTGTAGGGGATTAGTAAAGGAGATGGGAGAAGAGGGAAGAAACCATAAACGGGATACCAAGAAAAAGGTAGAATAGCTAAAAAAAAAAAAAAAGACAAGGTGATAGCTCATGCTGTGTTAGCATATTGTTGTATATATTAAGAAAAAGTATGTTCTAACACATAGTTATGAGAGAAGCACTTGAGTCCATCTTAGCGCTGGTACCTAAAATGTAAGTAAAAAATTTGTATTTCAGTTCTTGCAGTGAAGCCTTAATTGATTTCTTAATACAGAGTTTTTCTTCTTTGAGTGCTTGCCTAAGTGTGGAAGTGGACCTAAAACCAAATGAGTTATTTATATTTGTATTTTTTAGGTTAAGATGGAAATTTCATGTCTGAACTGTTTTATTCCATAGAATGTAACACATTCTGGAAGGCATAAAGGGCACAAGATGCATATAAGTCGTCAGAACAGCTGGCTGGGAGACATTCTGGACTGGCAGGATATTGCCTCTTTTGTTCACGAGAACATTGAGACATTTCTTTCGGTAAGATGTATTTATAACTAAGTTGGACTTAGAAATAAAAAAAGAAACTCATTGCAGGTTGTCTTTACACACATTGAAGCCTTTCAGTTACTCTGTGTTTAAATACTTTGACATTTGTAGATTTTGAGAACTCTAGATGCACTTTAGAAAGGTGTCTAAAAGCAAGTCTTCAGGTGTGGCTCTCCTGGTACTTGCTCAGTTAAAGCATATGCTGAATTTTGAATCATCTAAGCAATGCTGTGGGCTGTCAGATTCTTGATGTCTCCCACCTCAGGCTCACCAGAATGTTCTCAGTCAAATCATTAGTGAATAACCCACTTTTCTAGCAAGTCCCTTGACTTGGAAATACAGTTCTAGGTATATTAGAGAGACTGAACATGTGAAAGTTTGGATTTATAGCTTCCTACCTACTTTCCCACCATTTACTTACCACCTCTAGTCTTACAGCATTGCTGAGTGTTATTACCATTCATCTAAGAGCCGACTTGGGCATATATTGGTGGGTGATAGAGATGAGAAGAATTTTCTTGTGAATAAACATGTGACTTTCACCCAGTTAACAAAAGTTGAGGTTTGCAATGCTACCTTCTTAAGACACTTAAGTTTTATCAGATAACTCATAGCTGAAAGTCAACTGTTTAGAATTTTTTTTTTACTTAAAAAAAAAAATGTTGTAATTTGTGCTTTCCTGTATCATTCTCTAGGAATAAACTATCAGTTCCAGTTCTCCAGTGTTTCTCTGGATTTCTAATACTTTAGACATTATTATGTTCACATTCTCTTTCTTGTTTTGCCATTTTAGATATTATCTTTTGGCTTCCAAATATGGAAGATGAAGGTAAAGATGTGACATTCTTTCAAGTCCTTCAATGCTTTCTCCTTTGGGACTTTTTTTTTTTTTTTTTTTGCGGTGCTGGGGATCAAATCCCTTGGGACTTTTTTTATTGTGTGTGTGTGGTGTTAGGGGTCAATCCCTTGGGGCTTTCTTAAAAATTCCTTCAGCCCTACCACCCTGCACTCACATTCTTCCTTTCTTCCCACTTACCTGGCACAACTGACAATTTGGAATTAGATTTAGAAGTTCACGCCCTTCAGTTTTTTTATTTTGTTAGGATTTCATTTCATTTCATTTAATTGATTTTCATTTAAATTTTCTTGGCAGGACTGGGGATTGATCTTGGGAACTCACACAGTGCTCTACCACTTGAGTCACACCTCTAACCTTTTATTTTAATTTGGTTTTTAGTAGAGTCTCTTTCTTTTGCCCAGCTTACTTGGGTTCTGATTCTTTTATCTCTACCTCCTTATTGCCTGAAAATTACCCCAATACCCAGTCTTGATTTTCTTTTTCAGTTTAGAGACAGGGACTCTCTATGTTGCCCAGACTGGCTACAAGCTTCTGGCCTCAAGTGATCCTCCTGTTTTAGCCTCCCAAGTAGCTGGGACTGTAGGTTCACAACATTATCTAGGGGTAATGTACCCAGTTATTTTATATTTTTGATAATCCCTTACCTCTGATTTCTCTAATCCAAAAGTTTTTAGTTACAGTTACAAATACTTTAATAAAGTATTTGTAAAAAATACTTTCTTAAAATAAAAAATGATTTATTGAGAAAAATGGCCTTCTTGCAAATCTGTATACATCTTCAAAATAGTGATGTTTTGTTGTATTTACAGGTCACATTCTTTAAGGTTACCTTTTTTAAAAATAAAAACTTAGAAAGCTGTGAAGGTCACATTAACTGATATATTTCCAAAATGAATGATTTCAAAATTTTATTGTTGACAGCAAATCACTTCAGTGGTTTTCCTTGAAGTGACACATTATGCATTTTTGAGAAAAATTCTACCTTCTGTGAGGTTTCCCAGGTGTTCTTTTATGTGGGAATGGTGGTCAATGGAAAAATTTGCTTGTTCAACTTCTAGCTCATTCAGACTTGTGCCCTTCCTTCTAGGGCTATCAACTCTTGGATATGCAGCAGGAGTGCTTCTTGTTTACCTCCCATTTTTTCACATAGAATATTAAAAAGATGGCAGTGGGGGGTTGGCAGACTATAGCTTAAGTGATAGAGCATATACCTAGCAAGCCATGAAGCCCTGAGTTCTGAGTTCAAATCCCCATATGCCAAGAAATAAAATTACGATCAATGTGGTGGCTCACACTTGTAATCCTAGCTAATTGAGAAGCTGATACTGAGAAGGTCTCAGTTTGAGGCCAGCCCAGGCTCCTTTTTCCCATCTAAAAAGGAACAGAAAAGTTCCTGAGATCCCATTTCAAATAATACAAGTTGAGCATGGTGACTTGTGCCTGTCATTCTAGTTGCATGGAAAGCTGAATTAAGTACATTGCCCAGCCTAGCCTAGACATTAATGTGAGATGCTAGTTACTAGGGTCTAAAATGTGCTGCTCGAGGTTGATAGTAAATACTATGAAAAATTTTACTGATGCATGAAGAACTTCTTAAATGAAGCTGATGCTGAATATATGGTAGTGAAGAATACAGTAGGGACTGAAACATGTACCACCTCCCTGATTCATGCCAGGACCCAGTAGCTTTACCTGGTGTTGATTGTCTACACACTATCAGTGCAGATGCCAGTATGAGCAAGAGCAAATGTTTGAGTACTCCTCAAAAATATTTTGACCTCCCAGACCCTCGAAAGTGTCTTGGGTCTCCTGTTGACCTGGGGCCATACTTTGAAAACCACGTATCTGACTGTCTAACATTGGGCCTATCCTGGCATGGATTCTGTAATTTTTGAAACATAAATGTTTTTAATTTTTATATTGTTATTATAAAGGAGATGTACAGAGGGGTACAGTTATATGTCCGGTAAAGAACACATTTCTTTTTGGACAATATCACCCATTTCCTTGCTGTCTCCCAGTTTTTCCTTTTCATCCCCATTCATAAGATGTACAGTTCATTTTCAACATAGTATTCAGCCAGTACCATTGTTGTATTTATTTACCCTTTGTCCCTCCATTTCTATGCCTCCCCTTACTCTTCCAAAGACATATAAATGAACAAACAACAAAAAGGATAGAAAACAAACACAGCAAAAAGGAAAAATGTCTCGTTTTCATTTCAATAAATATTATTTTGTATGATCAGATGCACATAGATATTACACCTTTCTGTGAAACATATTTTTTTTTTTTACTTCTTTTTTTGCCTCTGATACAGCCTCAACTTTCTGTGATTTCATTTATTTTGTAGTGCTTAGACTGAACCCAGGGTCTTGCCTGTGCTAGTAACATAAGAACTCTACCACTAAACTATATCCACAGACAGCCCCCCATCCCCTATTTTTGTAGGCAAGGGGGCCACCAGATGTCATCCAGACTGTCTTTGAATTCCTGTCTCAGCCTTTCAAGTGTTAGGATTACAAGTGTTCACCTCCATGTTTGGCCCTTTAACTGTGTTTTTGAAACCTTGATTGAACTGATTACATCTTCTACCAAATTTGTTATATCCAATGGCTCTTTCTTACATTCAGAATCTTTTTTTTTTTAATCTTTGAGGATATTACTAATAAAATGTTTTAAATGTCTTCTGCTTCTGTTTGCTCTGAATTCTTTGAAGTTTGCTTTAATCTTTGTTTCATCTTTGAGCCTGTCTTCAAATGTTTGGTGACCCTTGGCAGTCAGTCTGTTTCTTTTTAAGAGTGAAACACTTAACAGCCAGCTGGAGCTTCAGCTTTTAAATGCTAATACATATGCAAGGTAGTATATGTTTGATAATATATGAATGTTTGTTTTCCCCTAATTAAAGGAATGTTCAATAATAAAAATTACTAAACACTCTTGTTTTGAACCTTTAAAAGTGAATTTTAAAGGTTCTGATGTTGACCATGAAATGACATTGAATCAGATAAAGATAGATGCAGAAAATGTATTTAAATTTTATAAATTTTTATGGTAAGAGTTAAAGTATAGACAGTTTTAGAAACTAAAACAATTGAACCATACAGTCACACAAAAATAAGAAAACAGATGTCAGTACTAGGGCTTAAACTCAGGGCTTTGCCCTCTGACTTGACTTTTTCCACTTAGGATTGATGCTTTACTTCCATTTCTGTTTTTTACTGGTTAATTTTATTGTTTATACCTACTTTCTTCACTAGATTTTTAAGTACTTGGGGCAGAAAGACTGTCATTTATCACTACCTTAGAATTTAGAATGGTAGTGTGGTTTCAATTAAACTAAGAGAGGCACATTACAGTTTGAATAGTAATTATTTTTGTATTTAGCAGCACAGTGGCGCATTTGAAATGGTGTTTTGAGATCACCCAGCTCAACTTCCTTATTGTATAGCTAGATAAGGAAGAAAGGAACCAAAGGACAGTGGAGGTCACATAGCCCACAGCTCCAAATTCCTTCCAGACTCAAGAAGGCAGACAGATAGCTGAGCCACTAGAAGTCATTTTCTCTTAGTTTAATGACTGGACCTCTGCAGGGTTCTGTTCTTCTGTTTTCCTAACGTGCTTCCTTTTGGATCTTTAGTTCTATAGAACCAAAGGCTGAAGGGTCTAGAAAAGATCCTGGGAATCCAGAGTAGTAATCTAAAGTTTAGTTGGCATAGTAGACTCAAAGTGTAGGGGTACAGAAAAGCGTGAAATTAGTGAAGCTCCTTGGTTATGTTTTGCAACTACACTGCTTGAAGGCTTAGATGAATCTCCAGGCTTCTCTTTCATGTCCAGTCTATTCTTGACATTGTTAGAGTTCTGTTACTAATGTTGATTAAATATACACCAAACCTGGCTCATGTTTTCTGTATTTTTTAAATTTAATTTTCTGAGTTTCAGAGCCTTCTTACTCTTACTGTCTTTACTATTTTCCTTCTTTCTAAGCCTGGCATATAAACTAAAAATACTGTAAGGATTTAGTTAATATTCCAGAAATCTCCCTTTTTCCATTTTCTTCAGCTGATCCCTCATTTTGTTTCAAGGTTAAAAGGTTGTTGAATTGGAAACTACCAACATATAATTAATTTATTCTTAAGAATTTTAACACAGTATTTCATGTCATTATGACTTAGAAACTATTTAAAAAATTTTTGATAAAAATTCAAGAATGGCTTAAGCCCCCAAAAGAATGCTTGTCAAAAAAAATCACAAATAAAGGCATTGTTTCTTGGAACCAGCTGCATTATTCATTCATTCTTTATTTCACAAAGTCAAACAGTCAGTTGTTGCATATTTTTGTAGGCATATTGAAACATTTTCAGGACTATATGTAAGGAGCTCTTGTAACTGAAACCAGCCTGCTGCTAAAGTTCTATTATGAAGACGCAGCTGAGGTTTGCAAGAAATGGCTGGGACAACAAAATATGCCTTTATAATGATACATTTCAGGTAGGAAGGGTATGGACAGGCCTTTCAAAGAATAGGTGATTAAATGAATATATGACAAAAAATAGAACTGTTTCAGAAAGGGCAGCAAAATAAAAATCAGACATTAAAGAGTTCTGGTTCCATTTCTGTTGCTACTTTTTAGCTTGTCCTTGGGCAAACATATTAAAACATGAGCTTTAGCTTATATAGCTACCAAATAGAGGTGATATCTACATTGCTTCCATCACAGCACTTTTATGAAGTTTGTGGAAGTATTTTATTTTATTTTATTTTTTTATTTCTTTTTTTTTTTTTTATTGTAAAGCTACTATACAGAGGGTTACAGTTACATGAGTGAGGTTATGAGTACACTTCCTCTTGAACATTGTTACCCCCTCCATTGTTTTCCCCCTACCATCCCCTCCCTCCCTTGTGGAAGTATTTTAAAAATAGTCATGGAAGATGTTTTCCTTATCATTTTGCTTCCATATCTTATTAACAGGAATTATAATCTCAGGCAGAGTAGAAAGACATCAGACATACTCCATGACTACGGAGGAATTTAAGTTGATAAAAGGATAGGAAATAAAAACACTCGGGAGCACTATACTCTCCATTTTTAGTCATATTTAATGTGTATATAACCATGTTGATATCTGGTTCTGTTGGATTCACTAATCAACTGAAGTCAGTAGGTTATAATCGACTAGTCATTGTCTATCTCAGGAAAGAGATAGTCTATTAGGAAAGACAATAGTCTATCTTATTTTCATTGTGATTTTATTTGTCACAGAAGTAATGCTTTTTATATTTATAGCTGGTTCTAAGCTGGAGATGGCTAAGGTAGAGTATAGGCAGCAGCCAACACAATAAATGCTTGAACTTATCACCACAGAATGTATTTATTGACATGTTTTCCTATATGCACTTTTACATACATTCTATTTTTAGTAATAATCATGAACTATATAAAAATTTTTATCTTGTTGAAGTTAGCATTACATAATAAAACATTTCTTTTTTTATAATAGATATTTCTGAAATCTGCCTAGTACTGTTTGAAGAAATACACCATATTACTACTACTACTACTGCTAATACTATTTTTCTTTTGGCTCTTGAACACAGTTGTTTTCACACTCTCCCAATCCCCTCCCCCCATTATTTAAAATAGTCCTCAGTTCTCATCTTTTTCAGTTATGGTAGTAAGGCTTTATTGAAAGCACACTAGATGGCTGTAGCAGTTCCTTTCACAAGAATTACTTCTGACATCAGCTTTTTTCCTTGTCAGATCTTGGAGTCCTTGTGGATTGTTATGAGCCGGAATGTGAGCCTGCTATTTACTACAGTTACCACGCTGCTGACTATCCTCTTCTATAGTGGCACTGCCCTTCTTAATTTTGTACTCTCCCTGGTATGTATATCTAGATAAGCACACTTCAAGTACATCTCCCTCATTAAAGCATTTTCCTGGTTCTATTTGTATTTGCAGATGGCTGTCTTCCTGTAGTTTCCCAAATATGATTTTTTAGGAAACGCTGTCCTTTGTTTTGCAGATAATTTTCCTGACCACACTGTTTTATCTATTAAGTTCCAGTGATGAGTACTACAAGCCAGTGAAGTGGGTGATAAGCCTGACACCACTATCTCAGCCAGGTCCTTCCTCTAATATTATTGGCCAGTCTGTGGAAGAAGCCATCAGGTAGGGATAAGATTCTTTTTTCTTCTTTCTCCTTCCTTCCTTCCTTCCTTCCTTCCTTCCTTCCTTCCTTCCTTCCTTCCTTCCTTCCTTCCTTCCTTCCTTCCTTCCTTCCTTCCTTCCTTCCTTCCTTCCTTCCTTCCTTCCTTCCTTCCTTCCTTCCTTCCTTCCTTCCTTCCTTCCTTCCTTCCTTCCTTCCTTCCTTCCTTCCTTCCTTCCTTCCTTCCTTCCTTCCTTCCTTCCTTCCTTCCTTCCTTCCTTCCTTCCTTCCTTCCTTCCTTCCTTCCTTCCTTCCTTCCTTCCTTCCTTCCTTCCTTCCTTCCTTCCTTCCTTCCTTCCTTTCGCCATTTTTGGAACTTGAACTCAGGGCTTATGCACTGTCCCTGAGCTTTTGTGCTTAAGGCTAATGCTCTACCACTTAAGCCACATCTGTACCTCTAGTTTTTTGGTGGTTAATTGGAGAAAAGAGTCTCAAGAGTTTTTTGCCTGGGCTTGCTTTGAACCTCAATCCTCAGATCTCAGCCTCCTGAGTAGCTATGGCTATGAGCCACCTGCACTTGGTAAAATTTATGTTATTCTTATTTTTCTCACCATCTATATTCATGAAAAGTATGTGAGCCTGCTATTTACTACAGCTTAAACTCCTGGTAACATATTTAGTGCTAAATTAGTTAAGGATTCTGGTATTCTTAGGATTTTTATTTCCTTTTGAGAGGTGCAATGCACATGTGTTTGCTTTTTGTTTCTTTTGAGACATTGTCTCACTATGTATCCCAGGCTGGCCTGGAACTCTTTGTAGTCTAGGTTGTCCTCAAACTCACAGTACTGTTCCCTCTGTCTCCTGATTGCACCTAGCTAGTGCATATGTTAATAAGGAAAAATATTCAGACAGGTTGTTATATTATGCTTTGGCCTGGGATTTACAACTGTGTGATGTGCCTCTTAACAGCTTTCTGTAAGCAGGAAGGTTTGCATTTGTTGCCATGTTACTTGTTCTGGAGAAGCGCCCTCTGCTTCCACTTCAGCCTCATCTTCTCAGGAATCCTAGCTCAGATCCGGGAGGAGAATATTTTACCTCTAAGCAGCTAGTCTGTGCCCTCTGAAGGAATAGTTTGGATAGGGGAAATGCAGTTTTTTGTTACCTCCCAGTCATGGGCTCTGCACGCTTTATAGACTGGCAGAAACTTCCATCATTCCTTTGGAGTCTGTATTAGACACTTCTGAGTGAGATTCTTTAGTACCTTAATACCCTATAGGCTTTATAACAGTCCTTCCTGGCCCCCATTTCTTTCTTCATGTCTGGTTGGGAGATACCATTTGCAGTTCTGACCTTTCAGCTCCTCCTTAAAGCCTGTTGCTCATTGCTTATTAACATGACTCTTTATAAAACCTTTTGTACGTAACTACTCAAACCTCATATCAGCCATTAGAATTCCTCTTCCTAATAAGCTGTTAGCCACATGATCTTAATACCTTAAAAGTTTGTCAAATAGTAAATCTTTGACTGGTGTTTCTGTTTCCACATACTTTTTAAAATATACCACTGTTTGAAACTTGGCATTACTGACAAGATTTGATTTGACCTCATCATCCTGTCTGACTGTTTTTGGCTTGCCTTTTTTTCACTGTGTTCATGTAACAGCTGGGGAGAGTAGCACTTTGATCTCTGGAAACCCTTCATTACATTCCTGTATAATTGAAACGTAGACCATCTCTAGGGAATTTAGGTTTTCTTCCTTCTTTTCTTTTAGCAAATTATGGGTAAAATCTTCATAGGTACTTGACTTCTTTGATTGGATTGGAAGTCAAGTGGGACTTTAAAAGGAAAATTCATTTAGTGCTTGTTTGATACCCCCTGAGAGCCACATGAAGCCACCCATATAGTGATTGGACCCAGGCTGGGGATGGGTGGTGGTAGAAAAAAGAGATACCAAGCTGGAAATACGTTATCTTAAATAATAGCCCTCAAAATGACTCTGTCTTCAAAGAAGTATTAATTTTAGCATCCCTTCTATGATCTATGACCTTTGGTTATAATCCTTATTGGGAAAATTGCAAAACTCCAGTAATAAGATTATCATTTGTGGGGCTCGGAAGGTGGCTCAGTGGTAGAGTGCTTGCCTTGCATGCTCGAGGCCCTGGGTTCGATTCCTCAGCACCATATAAGCAAAAAGAAAAAAGCCGGAAGTGGCGCTGTGGCTCAAGTGGTAGAGCGCTAGCCTTGAGCTGAAGAGCTGAGGGACAGTGCCCAGGCCCAGAGTTCAGGCCCCACGACCGGACCCAAAAAAAAAAAAGATTATCATTTGCTTATCTAACTGATATAATTCTGACTTAAAAAGCATACAAGGCCTAGCGCTGATAGCTCATGCCTGTAATCCTACCTATTCGGGAGGCTGATATTTGAGGATCGTGGTTCAAAGCCAACCAAGGCAGGAAAGTCCGTGAGACTCTTATCTCTAATGAAGCACTCAGAATATCGGAAGTGGTGCTGTGGCTCAAGTGGTAGAGTACTAGCCTTGAGCTGAAGAGCTGGGGGAAAGTGCCCAGGCCCAGAGTTCAAGCCCCACAACCAAAAAAAAAAAAAAAAAAAAAAGCAAGCATACAAATACTCTCCCCTAAGTGAAAAATAATTTTTTTTTTCTAATGGTATTGGGATCTGAACTTAGGGCCTTATGATTTCTAGACTGTCATTTTACCACCTGAGCCATACCTCACCCATGCTTTTTTTTTTTTTTTTGCTAGTCTTGTTGACTTTTCTGCCTGGGTTGGTTTTGAACTTCAACCTTCTATAATTCAGCCTTTTGTGTAGCTAGGATTATAGTGGTGCCAGTGGAAAAATCATTTACCTCTTCCCAGTGGGATAAAACTATTGGAACAGTTAGAGGGTTGGAATCCTCTAATCAGTGTGTATAGAAAAATACTTACCTTGTTCATAAAGAACTTTTAAAGAAATTTGATACTTTATTTTCCTTAAAGTACCTTTCATTAACACTGGTCTCACATGTTTTGAAATCAGAGTTCTTAAAATTGCTTATAGTAAATGGTTTGCTGACAGCTTATAAAATGTCTTATTGAGTTGCTTATTTGTATCACGCATGTCATCTTTTTTTTCTCTTTATTTTGGTAATACTAGCTATGGTTGAACTTGGCATCACACTTGCTAAGCAGCCATTCTTTCTGCTGAGACAAACCTCTTACCCTGAGTTCTCTATTATTATTATTACTTTTTTGCTCTTTCTTTTTTTTTACCAGTCTTGGGCTTGAGCTCAGGGCCTATGCACTGACCCTGAGCTGCTTTTGAGTTATAGTGCCACATCCAACTTTTTCTACATAGTTTATTGAAGATAAACTTTCCTCCCCAGGAATCCTCAGATTTCATCCTCAGATTTCAGCCTCCTGAGTAGCTAAGATTAAGGCACGAGCCACTAGTGCCTGACTTAAATTTTTCATTCTGAAGGATTATGTTCCAAAAGGAATATGTTTCTTTATGGAGAAAAATTATTATTAATTATCATTGTTTTATTGTACTCTGGTTTGAAATCAGAGTTTGCCCTTGTTAAGTGGCTGCTCTATCACTTGAACCACTCTTTAGTTCCTTTTTGCATTGGTTATTTTCAAAATATGGTCTTGCTTTATGTCCAGACTAGCCTGGGCTGCTGTCCTATTTTTACTTCCATTTGTTGCTGGGATGATAGGTGAATGGCATTGCATCCAGCCATTGAGTGAGATGGAGTCTCATGAACTTTTGTGATTGGGATGTCCTAGAACCACAGTCCGCTGATTTTTACCTCCCAAGTAGCTAAGGATAACAGGCTTGAGCCACCATATCTACCTGAGAAAGATTTTTTAAGGGAAAAAATATTTATATAGATGATTATAAAAATATTGTAATGTCCATAAAGTATAGTTTGGTCTGTAAATTATCATCAGTAAAACAGTAATCATTCATCATCATCATCAGTGTTTGTAGTTAAGTAAAAATCATTATGCCCATTTTGTTTGGTCTATTAATCATTACAAGTGGAGTGAAATTGGGCGAACTGCATGGCTGGATAGAGAAGTGTCTGTTGTGTTCCCGGAGCTTTGCCATCTGAAATATGTGTTTCTCCTTTACATCATGTGTCATCAAAGTTTTGAACCTTAATGATTACTTTAATTCTGAATCACTTTTAAATTGAATGCATTTGTGAGCTGGTTATCATTTCATGAGATTTTGAGTTAGTAGCATGCATCCTGTATCCCCAAACCATTTTCCTCCCTTCAGCAGCATGTTGTCTCCTGAATGTATACATCACACCCTTTCCCCGGTGCTCTCATTCTGCTTGCTCTGGTGGAGATATTGCACATTACTAAGTTGCATGTTGTCACGGCCTCAATGCAATTTAGTGTGTGTGATATTTTCACATGAGTGCATGCACAAGGGTATGGCTCTTGCTTGCTGGGATTATAGCTTTTCAGTGCTGGTGGGTGGAAACCCTTTGGACAAAGCGTTAGATAGGAGACTCTGTGTATGTACCACTTTAATCTGAACATGTTTCCCCTCTCTGCACACTTAATTGTGAAGAATTAAAAGTTTTGATTATTAAAAGGTTGACGTGATCCTTTAGTAAATCAAAGTTTTCTGTTTGACTTTAAGCATATTAAGTTTTCTTGGAAAGAAATTCTCGTGGATTTAAGGGTCCAAACTATTTAAATGAAAATGTATAAGGAAGAGTTTAAAACTATATTTTCATTTATTTGCAATATTAACTTTGAAATAGAGACAGAATTTCATGCATATTTGAAAATAATCACTTAGCTGAAGTTCTTAAATAATAATTAAGACATTAAGTATATGCCTTTTAGTTCTTTGATTAAAGATTGGTATCATGTACCTGAAGCTGTATTTTATTGTTTCCGAAGAAATGGCCTTAAAACAATATGGTTTCTATGTAGATTCTCATTGTGATGCTTTAAAAATTGCTACATTCATTTTCATAGGCTAGTAGTAGAAACTTGTTTTG